ATTCGTCCCCTGTCATGTCACAGTGCACATTTCGTCGAAAGGCCCTTGAAGCTACGGCGAAATCATTCCCCTCCTCAGAGTTCAACCCGGATAACATGAGTGCTCTACCGGTCGCCAGATTGGCCCACCCCCGACGCGGATCGCCGAGAAAGCAGGAAAAGAGTGGCCCACGGACCACCCGTACGTCCGCAAACGCCAGGTTATCAGCGCGCTTGCTGTGCGGGCAAACCCGTCCAACTTGTGATTGGCAGCGTTTGAAGCAGCGGCGGGTGACCAATGCGGCGGCAGATGACCTCCTTTATCAATTCAAAGGCCGACGTCCTCTGCCAAAGAGGACCAATAATATGTGGCGTCGTTTTAGTAGGTGGCCATGAGGTCGAAACGCTTACGCTTCCGGGCCGCCACTCTGAAGTTTCTTTCTCGACGTACAGTCTATCATTCAAGATGGAAAATACCGTGTGTGTGCCAGAAAAGATAACAGTGTTTTCTCACCGTAAAAGGAACCTATACCCTTTTATAAACGGGAAGCCCATTCACATTGACAGCAAGGTCACGCCCAATGTATGAGATTCAACGTGAAGTGTGGTACTTAGGCTAGTAGCACCAGTGTTGGGTAAAGTACATCTAAAAAGTACTTTAAATACAAAGTAAATGAGAGGCGATGTGCTTCAAGTAAAGTAGTAAGTACACTGGGTGCAATATACTTGAAGTAAAGTACTATAAATAGAATGTACTTTCAAAGTAATGTAAAAATACTTTTTAACAATATTTCATAATGCCCTTTCATTCGCCTTGCGAATGAAAGGGCATGAAAGGGCCATCATGCGCCAAAAATAATACTTGTATATTGTCGATTCATTTCAGCTCGGAAGGAGCGAGTTCTGCTCATATAACGTGTTCATACACTTTGCACTATTCTGTTTTTGTTTTTAGGGCGTAGCTCTTTTCCGGGTTGAGCGGCGTCGGCGTATCCGCGCGTGTTGCATTATGGGACGTCACAGTTTCCCCACTAATTTTAGCGGGGAAACTGAATTGGTGTTGGGGTCACGCGAAGCAAATTTGCCAGCTAAATTCAGCGGGGAAACTTAACCCGCTAAATTTAGCAGGGAAATTTTCGCTAACTCTCCCGCTATATTTAGCGGGAAAATTTTCACTGAATTTTCCGCTAAATTTATCGACAAAATTTGCCCGAGAAATTTAGCGGGAAATTTAGCGAACATTTTCCCGCTAATTTTAGCGAAAATTTCTCCGCTGAATATGGCGGGGAAACTTAACACGGGAAATTTAGCGAAAATTTCCCGCTAAATGGGAGGGGAGGAGGAGAGGAGGAGTAGAGGGTACGGAGGCAGAGGAGAGGCATACAATCCCCTCCGTACCCTCCCCTCCTCCGCCTCAAGAGCTGCGCTCTAATTTCGCATTGCACAGAATTGCAAACGTCATTATTTTTTTTTTTCCTTGGGGGGGGGGGGGGGGGGGGGGGGGCGGGGCGGGGGCGGGAAGATGGAAGGGGAGAGGGGGAGTTTTTTTTCTTTCTTGCTTTTAGCTTTTTTTATGCAAATCAACCGTAACGGCAATACCACTACTAGGCCACAAGTGTGATCTCTGCTCAAAAAGGTACCTCGGCTGCACGAACTCTCCCACAGCAAGACCAACTGCGAAAGATAAGGCTCTGAGCTCGGGCTTCTGGCCGTCAGAAAATACCTTTAAAATACAGGTATTTTCTTATAATGCTGCTATAAAAATCGTCAGGGAAGCAAAAACTGCCGAATGAAGAGATTTTATTTATGCCTGTTGAGCCATTGTGCGACAGGGCAAGAAAAACGTGTGCTTCCTTCGTTCTGTTGAAAACTGCCAGCACGTTGATGTCTTTCTCATATTATTGTGGGTCCTAACTTAGCCGTATATGCAAATGAAAGCTGAAGATGGAAAAAAACGGTGAGTTTACAAAAAGCAGAAAGCACAAGGCTCCCCTGGAAAATCACTGGGGTGTAGCTAGGACAATCGGCTGATTTGCAATGCGACACACCACTGCTGCTTGTTTGTTTCTTTGTTGTCTCAAAATAACCAAATATTGCCCCCCCCCCCCAAAAACCAACCCCCCCTCCCCCCCACATATTTGGCAGTATTGGATGAAGACAACAGAGGTGAACGTTTCAAAGCATTGAGACACTTCGACTTGAAAGTTTCTTGGTTTTTCCGCACTACTACAATCTTAGGTGTTACATTATGATTAATTGTCCTCTCGTAATATTTTTAACCTCCTCGCTTGGCCTCTCCTAATATCTTTAACCTCCTCGCTTGGACTGACCGAGCGAGAAATAGCCAGCGTTCGAATAGCTACGGGAAAACCGCCCCCAGAACAAACGGAGCAATGCGTCCTCTGCTCGCGTTTCTGGTGAGAGTAGAATATCCCTCCCAGTATTTCTTCAGAGTTGACAAAGCATCATTTTGCGATAAAAATTTAACAATACCAAACTAGGGGAATGTACTTTGAAGACAGGAGTTGTATTTTCTTCGGAAAGTACAAGAAAAAAAAATTTAGGTACAAGTACAGACTCAAAGAATGTACTTCAAGTGAAGTACACGTTTTCTAGATTTACTTGATGTAGTGGCAGACTTGATGTCCGAGTTGAAGCCGGCTTTGGAAATTAACTTTATGAGCACCAACGAGCATGTAGTACTTAAGAGCACCAATATGCAGATTGCTCATTGATGCCCTTAGGAACGGCGCAGAGAAGCTGAAATCCTGACAAAGGGGTATTGTAAGCAGTGATAGTGCAGGCGAGCTGGTAATTAATTGACGTATTGTAGACCCCAAGATGGGGGGGGGGGGGGGGGGGGACAACAAAAAAATTAAAATATCGTTTATTCAAACTTCGTTGTCTTCGTCAGATTTTTTTTCCCCACATTTTTAGAGAGATCTCAAGCATTCTCGGACTTAGTTACGGCACTTTATAGAAACAATGTGCAGATGGAGTGGATTTTCTGGAGATTTGGTGTAGCTAGAATATCAATCTAATCTGATATGGAATTACCGAGGAATTTGATTAAAAATGTTGGAGAAAAACAGGTTTGCAAAAATTGATAACTAAATGGGTGCTCACTGTGTATGTAGAGGAGCAGTTTTAAATGCGGTGGAATTATTTTTACTGATGCTTGAAGAATAATCTTCCAGTTAAAATTAGAAGTGCAATGTGTTAGATTATGCTGGCTGCTTCCTGGGCTATGTTAGGATGCGTATATCCTTGGAATAGGCTGAAGTGCAACCTAGACCAGTAAAGGCAATAGCCCTCCTGTAATTGTACACATTTCCTTTCGAATATCAAGCAAAACCCTCTAGAAAAGCCGTTTCGTGCTCACTGAGCTACTGTTGCTATTTTGTTTTTTCTCATTTATATTATTTATTGAGAGTTGCTCCAGATAAATAGCTGCTCATTCATGCATATTCAAGCGGGCATCAGAATCCGTCCGATTGTTCTCTTTCCACTTTCAGATCGTGAATTTCTAGTGAAATTTGACATTAAAGCTTTCATATATTTCCAGTATATGCCCATTAGCGTATGTACAAAAAAAAAAAAGATAGCTTTTTTAAGGGGTATGCATATCTCTATCCGCTCAGTATCCGCCCAAATGTAGCGCCAGCAATTGGGACCAGATGCGAGACTCAGAAACTCACCGTTATTTGATTGAAACAAGAGATGTTCAGAAAGTTCGAATGAGAAAATTTGTCGCTATTTTGTAACTAAACCACTCGCAACTTTTAATTTTTTTTTTTACACGACAATACAGCGGTTGCGCTAGAACGTCTACGTATATTTCCTCTTTGCCCTTTTATCACTTTAGGTATAAGATTGAGCTCCGCGCTTTGAACATGCTCGGCGAGCACCCGCGTTCGGGCAGAGCAAGCTTAGCTGAGAGCAACACGCTTGCACTTGTAGGTACGACTTTGCCGCTTGTGCTTTTCCAAAGGAATACATTTTGGAAGGTGACTTGACAAAACCACCTTTTTGTTCCCAAAACAATCTACCGCAATACCGCTAGTTCATTTTTTTTTTTTGTGGTTAGTTGGTGATGTTTATACACAATATTGCAAACGAGGTGTTTTTAACATGCCTGCACGCCATGTTTGTACATGTCAGAACCAGTTCATTTTCTAGAACAATTTCTCCCTTTTATCCCTACTCCTGTGCATTCTGTAATCACACATGAACATGTATAGTTCATATACAAGGTATCAATATCATCAGCTACATTACACCGGTCTAATGTAATAATACATTACATTATGTGTTCCTTCTAAATGTATATTGTAACTGTAGTTGTTACTTTTCCTGAAGTTACGATAAAAGTAACGACGGTACTTTGCGAACACATAGTTTCCCAGGAGTCACGACCTGGTTGTAGCCAAGTGTAAATGCGATGTGAAAGGCCGTTACCTTTACGCACTCACTTGTACAGAATACCTGTATCTTGATAGCTTGAAGCACTATCATTATTGGCATCCTTTGACGTTTCTGGCCAATCATTTTATGGTCCTAACTGCCGTGAAACGACACATGCGCTGACCGATGGCAGTAAATAGGAGGGCTAGTGACAACATAATGTGCATACTTGCATTTCATACAACTTTGGGGGGGAGGGGCGGTTCTACTTTCCCTTCATTTTTGTGTAATAGAGAAGCAAGTAAAAAGTAATGCAGTTACTTCTTTTTTTAACTGCAAGCAGTTATTTTTCGTTATGGTACTGTAACAGTAACTTTGCTACTTTTTTATAAAAGTAATTAACACTAAAGGATTACTTTTTGAAAGTAACTTGCCCGAGACTGTCCATCACATGAGTCAAACAGTCCGTCTCTCATCACATCAAACAGTGACATCAGTGCCATGAATAAAGCAAGTTAATAAACCTTATAACATCAGGGCCTATGTAACGCACCTTGACATATTGGTGGTAGTGATAATGCAACTGCACTAACAATCCGGAGCAAGAGAAAGACAGACTAAAATTTGAATGTTTAATAAATAATATCACAGGGTCTCCTTTCTTTACACAATGATACTGTGCACTATTATACATGCTGTATACATACTTCATATGGCAACATATGTAGGCAGCTTAAGAATTTGGGCAAAGACCACATAAATTCAGTATAATGGAGTAGGAGTTACTTACAAAAGGCAAATATTTTTTCCCACAAGCACACCATGGACTGTTACAGGGGCCAAAAAAGACAATACAACCAACCAGGCAAGCCAACACTTCCAACTGTGATCTACTCAATTTGAGAAGTCAGCATGTTAAGCTGAAACTGGAACTAAATTAGGGTGGCAAGTATTGGAAAACCGGAAGTCCTGCAAATACAATGGCTTCGGAACCAACAAAATTGATAGAACTCAGAATACTAATATAAAATACAGTAAAAAAAAAAAATTAACTCCCAGTTATATCAGAAGCAAAATAATCACAGCATTTGTGTACAACTTACTAAACAAAAACATTTCATCTCCAAAGAAACAATTCTACAATAAACTAATCCCACCAAGTCCAAAGGAAACCATTCTTTCGGCCGATCAGTAGAACATTGTCGGCAATCCTCTAAGGCTCCTGCACTGCTGAAGTGAATTGGCTGCCAAGGCACTTTTCTCATCTTTGGGCAGCTGTTAGCTTACTGGTCTAATGCTACAAGTGATCTACACCATCATTTCAAAAACTCATGTTAGAAGCACAAGGTGGCCCATAATCACAATATTAAAACAATTTGCTACAGTACATAGCTTCAGCCCCTTGGAAAACATTCCAAGTCAACTGGCAGAGCAAATACATTTACATGCACCTGAAAACAAACATCAGCTTTCACAAATGTATCCTCCTCTCTTTAGCTCTAAAAGAAACGAAATAAGTGAAATAAGTAAACTCAATGAAACATCCCTGCTAGATAAGGCAAGGCTTTAGAATTTTTCACAAGAGAAATCACATTTCATTATTAAGTGCTCATCATTTGTAGCAATAGAAACAGTGCACTGTATCTATCTATGAACTTCATCCCCAAAACAATGCAACAGTATATTTGACCATAAGGCAGTGTAACACATGAAAAACAATACACACATCTCACCCATGCACAAACAGTGCTGTAAGAATGATGTAACTATCACTAGCAAAGTTGTGCCTTAAATGTGACATCAGAAAATGATGTCCAAGGAACAGTGTGCAGATCATTTTAACAGTGAAGAATGTCGATAGTTGCAATAGTAGAATACTTGATGGCACAAGAGACTGACTTAACTGTCCGCTTAAAGTTTAAAATGAAAACATGCCTGCTGGCATTTGACAATTCTGTTGCCACAAATATGTTTCACTCAAACTTCAAAGCTCCCAAAACAAATATAAACCATTTCCAAAACATTGTGGAGCAATGGCATTACTACAAAGCATACAGCCACCAAATGATCACCCAGAACTTTCTAGGCATCTGCATAAATGGACAAGAGCCTGATGACAAATTAAGAGTTGAGATTCCTGCTGTGTCATTTTTGAGCAGCTTCACAATGAACAAAGCCTCAGGAAAGTGTTTGTCTGTGGAACAAAATGAATAGTCCAGAAAACCAAAAACACATATGCCGTTTTGCCAATTTAACATTGTTAATTAGTAAGCCAATTAAAAATTAGGCTGTTACACGGCATGCTTCATTTATTTACTATTGTTCCAACTGTGTAATGCAAAACCTCCCCATCTCAACAACAAAAAGGGGTAGTCAGACCATCACATTTCTATTATCAGGCATACTGACTGGAACCCATGTTCTTCAAATAAGATAGCACAAAAGAATGCCTAATAAATCAAATGACACTCATATATTAAGAACATAATGTTTAGTGGAGTAATATTAAGAGCCGGTTCAAAAGTGCAAGTGATTTCATGTTGATTAAAATGATTTAAAAGGCAATTTAATATTGCACATTATTTCAAAATGGCAAAAAAAAACTCGCAAAATTAGTTTCTAATTTTATCACATGCTGAAACATGAAAAAAAAAATTGCATCTGCATTAAAATATAGTACTATTATACGTGAGAATTTTGAACAAAACCATATGACTAAGTTAAAAAAAATACTGGAACGTATGCTCACGAACCACACTTAAGTTCACACAACGAAGATAATGCATCTGACCCAATAGCCTCAAACTCAAACAATGACAAGAACAAAAAAATTTTTTTTTTAAAAACCTATTTAAAAAAGAAAAAAAAAACACAAAAAAACCTGCCATAACGCAAAGTACACACTGTTTGGTTGGCTGCTTTCCCTACAAGAGTGGTGTACAAAAGCTTTCTTACTTTATTTGTTCCAAATTATTCCCCAACACAGCTTGTGTACTTTGGTACCCTTTGCTTCATCCAGGTATTTCTGGAAACAGGTGGGAAACCAGATATGGGGAAACTAGAACGAAATAGGAAATCACATTAGCGTCTTGTCCGGAATGACGTCCAAGTCATCCCTGCATCTTGGAACGAACAGGGTACAGCAGACGTGCTCCCAGACATCTTGTGGATAAGACTCCACTTCTTCCCAGCCCAGAACTCCGTCAAGGTCAAACCTCTCCACAATCCCACTGGCACGATCGAAAGTGGTGTCACTGTGGAAACCACCCACCGTGTAGAGCCACGAGCCCAGCACGGCGACCCCCGCGTGGTACCGTGGCGTTGGCACAGCCGTCACTGAACTCCAAGAGTTGTTTCGAATGTCGTACGCTTCCACAGATTCTGCGAGCACCCTCGCCCCAGTCGCGATGTCTTCGTGCCAACCGCCGCAGACAAGGAGGCGGTCTCCGTAGACGACCATACAGTGGTCTGTGCGTGGAATCGACATTGGAGGCATCACCTCCCAGACATCGCTACGTGTGTCGTAACGGAGGAGCGAGCTCAGCACCAGGTCGGAACTCAGGCCCCCTGAGATGAACAGGTAGGGGCCCCAGGATGCTCCAGCATGTTGAGTCCGCGCTCCGGGAAGCGGCGTGATGGGCACCCAAGTGTCGGAGTGAGGCTCGTAGCGCTCGCAGCGAATCTCCCCGTCCTCTGTGGCGTCGGCATCACTCACCACTTCACCTGCACCGCCGATGGCGTAGAGGTGCCCCCGGGCAACGCACAGAGCAAACCGACATCGCTCCCAGTGCATCGGTGCCATGGTGGACCACTCGTTGGTGAGGGCATTGTAGCGGAAGCCAAAGGGGTGCACATTCTCCTGGTGCAAGCTCTGGTTGAAGCAGCCTCCGACAACGTAGAGTTCGTTGCCCAGCACAGCAGTGCCAAAGTTGCACTGCTCCACGTGCGGAATGGAGGTCAGGTATTTCCAGCGGCCCGCACTCGGCAGGTAGTAGGTGATCTCATTGGTGACACCAGACAGCCCGAAGCCCCCCACCTTGAGAAGGACCAGCTCCATGCCCCGCGTGTTCACCAGGCTCGGCGGGGGCAGGCCGCCGATGCCCGACAAGTGTGGTGGGATACGCCTCGAAAACAGGCACTGGAGGACGGGGGAGTCCCACAGTTGGGCCAGCCTCGAAGCCGGAATCTCCGAGAAGCAGATGTAGGACAGCAGCTTGCGCGCCTGCGAGAGCCGCTCCCGCACGTCCCAGGCGACCCAGTTCAGCACAAAGGACAGCACGTCTCCTTCGGGGCAGTTCACCGGGAAGTCGCAGGCCAGCAAGTGTTCCAACTGGTGCGGCGAGAGTCTCTGGAACTCGGCCGTCTCTGCGAACTGGTGCAGGTTGGTGCAAATGAAGCGGTAGACGCGTTTACGCAAGCGCCGCAGCGAGTAGGTCTCTGCCAGTGTGGCCACGTCAATGCAGTTCTCCAGATCGAGTTGGTCTTGAAGGTAGGAAGAGCACGCCTCCACCACGGGCGTAAGGCCGACGTGGTTCGCCGTTGCCAGGACATCCTGGATGTTGGCCAGACTTAAGACGAGGCGCGACGTGTACGCATACTCGAGCAGACAGCGAAGCCCTTGAGCGCTGACGCCATTCAGGCAGATCTCGGGCTGCCTGCTCTCTCGCATGGCATCCGTGAACATGGCACGAAAGTAGTCGCTGCAAGCAGCGAGCACAGCCCGGTGGGCCTTGAACTCCCGCCCACCGGCAATGAGGGTCACGTCCAGCAGCTGACCCCGAGCGCGGAGGGAGTTAAGTCCATTCAGCAAAATGTTGGCATGGGGCTGCGATTCAAAGTGCACCATGCGGAAGGCCGGACCAGTGTCCGTCTGCTTCGAGATCTCTTTCATGGCAGCGTCGTCCGCCACGTCCCCCAGGGTGCGGAAGTTCAAGGCATGCTCTGCCAGTCAGTCTTCTTTCTGGCAGTGGATCCCGTCTGTGCTACCTGGAAAGAGTGCATAGGACTCTCAAATTGCAATAAATCATTCAATGCTGCAAGCATAGCTCTAATGCAGAAATAGTGTTTGACGAAGAAAGCCAACAAGGCTGCATATTTCTTTTATTTTCCCGTAGCCAACACACGTGTTGTGCTCTAAAGTAAACAGGCACATTTAGTCTCAATCCACCAAGGGACAAGCTCCCTTAAAGGGCAATTCCGTTCCATACTTTCGATTTTCGGATTATGACTGTTTTTAGTGCAGTCAGGCGTCCCTGAATTGCAAGGTGCAATTTTTTTCTCGTTATTGTGCGTAGTTTTAAAGATATCAACGCCTCAAAGTTTTGTTTTGGGCGCAGCCAACAAAACCGAAACTAGCCGCTCGAGGCCCCGGAAACACTGGAAATCAGCCGCTATGTGAATGTGACGTCAAGATCGTTCTCGTTCAACGAGTACGCAGGCCGAGCGGCATTTACCTGTATACGTGATTTTGTTTTAATTCTGTATACGTGGTAGTTATCCAGCATATGTAGCAAGAGTTAGTGCGTATACCCAAAAGCTAGCGACTGGAAAACCCGTGAACTCGTTCGGTGCCGTACTCGACGGCCGCCGCCGTGCGTGCGCAATGCCGTACTCGTCGCTTGTACACCCATCAGCTAACGACTGGAAAACGAGTGAACTCGTTTAGTGCCGTACTCTGCGGCTGTCGCCGTGCATGCGGTTTTCCATACTCGTCACTAGGCCTAAAATGTCGTTGGGGCTTTGTGAATGGAGCGGCGTTGCTGTACACCGCGCCGCCAGTGACTTACAGTACTGGGAGCCTTCTCGCTTTCGCGCTGCGGGTCAGTTCCAGACACGAAGCTTTGAGGCTCTCTGGCGTGGGCTGCGGCGCCCGAACACGTGTGCTGGGCTGTACACGTCCGTTTTTTCGTTCTTTTTTCCTCGGGCGCGTAAAAGCAGAAGTACAAAGTCCACTCGTCGGACAGCGTTCACCCACACCTTCTACAATTTCCGGTCCGTTGGAAACTTGTAAAAAAGCACCTCCGGGTTGCGCAGCGGGTTGTTTGAGCAGCCCACAGCGCTACAAGTTCTACTCGGCATCTTTCGAGGAACAGCTGCAGCAGTCTTGGGCGCACCGAGTTGCTCGCTAAAACGAGTTTTGAGCCCTTACAAGCAAATAAACAAAAGGAAATTTATTTATTTGAAAATACTGCAGGCCTTTCTCAGGCCCTGGCAGGTTACAGGCAACTATACACAATAATACCATATACAGCACAAAATAAAAACAAAAAAAAAACACAAAAAAAACGACAATACATAAATACATAACGACGAAGAACATAGTACATTAAAAATTCCATCAAGCAACGACACAAAAATTAAACACTTACAGTTTTCATCTTGCTATACCAAAGCTACCCGGGCTACAGATAAAAGCAACGGCTAAACACGCCAATCACAAGCCGAAGTAGCGGCGGCAGCGGCTCAAAGAAGCGCACTCCGCGCAACGCCCAGATCGAAGGAAAATAGAACGATACTGACGTCACGGCCCAATTTTGCTTTAGCGATCGGCAACCCGCTGGCCGCCCGCTAAGGAGCAGCGGCTAGCGGTGGGTCGCATTTTTATTATCGGCATTAGTTGAGAATGCGGCGTCCCCCGGACGTAACATTGTGGCTGGGGTCGTATTTTGTGTCACTACAGCGATACCAGTAATATATTGAATTTTGAGTTTTGGCCGAAGTTGCCCTTTAAAAGTGATTCTGGTTAAATTTCAATGCACTGCCTAGCCACAGCAGAAAATGAAACCCCTCAATTCTTTAATGCAGACAAATATAGGTCATGTTTAGGCACCTCTGCTAATCTGCAACCTGTCAAACAGTGCATTCAATAAAAGGACAATATTGTAAAAAGCTATCATGCAACCCGGGTTACCTAAAGCAAACATACACAATCGAATTTCTGCTAGAAAAAACATCAAAATGGACAAGGTTTTCGAAGAGGGTGCTCTTGATGTAACCACTTTGCTTGTTTTTCGCGCGGCTCGTTTCACTCGTCATGCAAAAGCAAAACAGCCCCATACAGATACATTAAAGGGCAACTCCGCTCAATTCGGAAAAATTTAGGCTTACTTGTGATTCAAATTCACAAAGCACTACTAAACAACTCTAAGTCTTAGGATTCGAGAATTGTGGATTATTATTTGTGTAATCCTAATTCAAACATCAGCTGATACCGAAACCGAAACTTCCGTTGCGTCAGGCAACATTGGTCTCGGGTCGTCAGAGTCATGGCCACGTCACGTCGAACCACGTGGTCTTGTGACGTTCGGGAGGGAGCGAGGGACAGGACACGCGACGCGGGCAGGTCGCTTCGCATGGCGTGGACGGTGATGGCCCGGGGGAGAGAAGGACGGGGAGAAGACGAAAGAGGAGAAGGGGAGCTGAGAAACAGACCGATACGCGCGCAGGGCAGCGCAAACTAGTGCATCCGCATTACGGTGATCACGTGAACGCCCGGTCAGCCAACACCGGGAGGAGAAACTCACGACGTCATCGTTCAATTTCGCTCCGAGAAGTAAAAACAAACAAAACGTGAGAATGACGTAGTCATGCCTCTGACGTAGTGGCTCAACGTTTGCCGCTCAAACTCCGTCGCACTGACTGCGCTGACGATTGCGCCTCACGTCGCACGCTAGAGTTGGCAGATTTCGGCGACTTGGCTCACTTGAAGGTTTGCTGGCCAGTTTATTAAATATATGAACGGAATTATACTCCGTTTCATACTTAGCGTGGAACGCTGTCAAAGCTACTGGCGCGAGCGTGGGACTTGATCTCGTTGATCATTTGCACGCGTTCTCGCGCAAACAAAACCATAGATGAAGCCATGCGCTCGTGCCTGTAGCTTTGACAGCGTTGCACGCTAAGTATGAAACAGAGTATAGATCGTAATATTTGACATGGGGTCTTCCTATATGATACTGAAGAGGGCTACATAGTTTTCTAAATGTCGAAAATGAAGCGGAGTTGCCCTTTAAGCGCATGAATAAAAGTGAGATCTCACTTTCATTATGAGCTCTATATGCCTAACTCCAGCATGCATTCACCAAGGTCTCAACGTGCAATAGATCCGCACACTTACTTTTGGTACAAATTACAAATATATATGTCTCAGTAAAGTGCACCCAATTCTTGTGAGGCAAGCGCAACCATGCAAACCATATCCCACAAGGCCAAAATTCCCAAAATTTGGTCACCTCGGTGGTTCTACTGTGGAAGTCGACATGCTCAAAGGGGTACTCCGGCGATTTTTTGAGCTACATCAACTATATTTTCTGACTCCCTGGCCTTTAGCCTTTCCGGTTATGCTATTTAGTATCGCGAAATTCGTAATAGTTATTGTGAAATCAGCAAATGAAAATGATGCAAAAACTAACATTCAAATATACCCACACTTTTCACTAACTCGACGTCAGTGGCAAGCAGGCTTGCCAGTCGAGCAAGCAGTCTAAAAAATAGAATATGCCAATCATTAGTTCTGTGCTGGGTGCTGGATTGCCAGCGAGCTTCCAAAGCATTCATTTGACACCATGAAACTGCTTCGGATCAGTTGGGAACAAATTCTAGAGTCCAAAGGGTAAACCCCTGCCTTCCTCCGACATCACTTTTTCGTTGTTGCCAGCAGACTTTCAGTTTGAAAAACATGGTGAGGACCCGAAATTGCCAATTTATTAACTTCGCAAAAAAACAATATTTTGACCTAATATTTGGGATACCATTTAAGTGATGTTTGTTGGCGAGTTTAGCAAATTTCAATCAAATCGGGGACCATGAAGAAATTGCCGGAGTATCCCTTTAAAGGAGTGGTGCAACGATTTTATGATTAAAAGAATTTGCATCTCGTCATTTTTACGCTGTTTATCGTGTCCCGAAGGATAGAGAAAACACCTCCTTCATTAATAATGTTGCGATTCCGCTGCATAATCGCAAAGCAAAAGTCAAGCTTTTTCCCCCACCTGCAGCCCCAAGTGGCAGCTGAAGGAACTACGGCGAAAAGATTACGTGACCTCGCTCGGCTCTAAGTTGCAGCATAACGCCCGCTAATGTCAGCAGAAAGAGGGAGAGGAAGCGTTCTCCGAGATAGCACACGGGAACCTGCACGGCACTCCGAAGGACATCACTAGGAGGGGGACCAGGTGTGAACCTGAAGGCTGGGAGTGAGTTGAGGGGTGCCCGAAATGCCAATATTTATCTTTTTTTTTTTACACAACAACTAGGACACGCAGGCAAAATCGGTTTTCTGTTCTTTACTTCAGAAGTGTCAGAGGGCAACTTCCAGAAATCTTTGACCGAAGTCCGGAAATCGTTGCACCCCCCTTTAAAAGAGCTGTGCAACGATTTTAATGCTGAAAGAATTTGCATCTTTTACTTATGACATTGCTTATCTTGTCACAAAGAACAGAAAACACAGCTCCTTCATTCGAAATGTTGCGATTCTGCCGCGTAATCGCGAGGCAAAAATTGGAATATTCCCCGACCTGCAGCCGCGAGCGGCGGTCACGAGAACCACGTGGCATAACCTCAATGGGGGTCTTGTAGAAAGATAGCAAGTTGTGCGAATACCTGCTCGATAAAAGGTAACTTTCCTATAAATCTCGTTGTTCCAACATAAATATAAATGCGTCAAAAACCTGGTATCATCGAAAAAACTTTTATTATACGAAGTTTTAGTGGCACCATCTATCCTAGGTCCACAAAACCGTCAGCTCTATCTGCTACCACGAACAGCCACCAGAAGCCGGAGGGGGACGGGGGTACAGCTAGACGAAGATGGCCAGACCCGGACGTAGGCACTTTCCTCCTTTTACTATATTGTTCGCACCGCACCAGCACGTGGTCACGCGGTCACGAGCTGATGAGTTCTCGCTGCTCACCGACAGCTCTAGAAAGAGCTTCACCGGAACCCCGCTCGTGCCCCTTTCACGTCGGAGCGCACGTGACACGGAGATGGTGAAGGAGTCGAGAGGTGCCGAAAACCTCAATCTATGTCCATTTTTAAAATAAAAACGAAGACATGCAGGCAAAAGCGTTTTTTTTTTTTTTTTTTACATCAGAAAGGTTGAGACACCAACACCCAAATTATTTAAGCAAAGCACTGAAATTGTTGCACAGCTCCTTTAAGACACTCGCATGCATGAGGCCCTTGCAGAAATAATTAGTAGTTTAACTTGAGAATACAATAACTAGAGTGCAATCACTATGCTTCTGCTGCATACATTCATTGTCCAGGCTGGATGGAATCTGCCGCCAAGTGCAATAGATTCTTTTCAGAAGTCCATCAGGCAACATTGATGGTTGTCATTTCTTGGTGAAAGCTTGCATTTAAATACCTACACACTGGTGACGGGGCTGAGCAGAATACTTCAGTAAAAAAGGAGGTGAAAGAGGCAGAGAGGAAATTGTGGAAGGAAAGAATGCAGGAGAAATCAGCTCTAACAGTGTACAGGTCACAAAAGCAGGACATAAAAAAGGAAAATGTGTTTGACAATTCACTGGGAAGTTCCTTGCTGTTCGAGGCAAGAATGGGAGTCTTGAGGACGAGGACTTGTAGGGCTAAATTTCAGGAGACGGGCACATCATAGGCCACCCGCCATAATGAGAGTGAGCCACTAGAGCACTCGGTTTTGAAGCGCACATACATGGCTTCGCCCTGCCCTCCCTGAAGGGCTAATAGATTTGGCTGGGGCACTGGGTTTTACTGGCGACGATGGAAGGACGGAAGAGAAAAGGATTGCAGTCACAAAGAGGCGATTAGAAGATTGGTGGAAATTATCTAGGGAAAATTGAATGATGGACAACTAACTAGCACAGCTGGGGACAGGCGGGACAGAGGAAAATTGGGACTCCCTCCCGCGTGGCTCTGGCCCGAAGTCTCATCAACCCTGGCTCCCAATGGGTCCGGTGCTGGGGTAACGCCGACAAGGTATGACCAGAGAAAAATTGGCGACTCCCTTGTCGGGGGGAAGAGGCAGAGGGTGATGCTTTTAGTTTTTTTGCCCGATACCAGCCCCCTCCCCCTCCCGTTCCCCAAGGTCATCCTGGTGATACCCCACACTGCCTGGCGATAGCTAGGGGAGAAAATTGGTCTTAGAAGGACAAGAAAAATCATATGTTTTTGTCTTTTTAGACTTAGGCTAGGTGGCGCAACCTACCGCCCGTTACAAAGGGCATAGCCATTAACATCCATCCATCCATTGGGCACGAAGCACGCAATTGTATCAGAGTTTTTGCCAAATGCCGACGCACCACTTGTTTTCAGTACGGGCCGAGTTGAGTTCATGCCTAATGCTGACACAGCCCTTATGTCCAATACATGCTTAGAGTATGTGATCAAGCAATGGCAGACAGACGATGGGACGGACTTTCAAAGAGAGTATGTTGGTAGTTTCCCACTACTGTGATCATAACAGGGAAAATTGCACATAGTACATTAAGTGAGCACAGGGAGAGGTGGATCCTGTATCCATCCTAAAGAGCAAAAGCCATTGGAACAGGGAACGATATCAAAATTATACTTGGGGTTTCATGTTTGCAGGGTCTTTTTTTTTTTTTAATGGGGGGTGAGGGTTTAGGGTTTACGTTTTTCTATGGGTTGTGTTTTCCAGTGTCAGCAAGAAATTGCCGTTAATGGGGGCTTCTGTAAAGAAAATAGGACACAAGGGTGGGACTTTACAACCTCCAGGGAATATGCGAGTGACCCGAATACCTAGAAAACATCCCCCTATAGATAAAGGAAGCAAGCTGCGAGATGGGTGTAGTTCCCCGAAGAAAGCAGCAGCCTGGGGCGCAGTTCAGTGTGGGCTATGTTCTGGGTCAGCAAAAAATAAAGGCGTGGATAAAGATTTTCCTTGGTGAAGTTTGGGTATTTCTTATTCAATGACAGCTCCAATTCAGAATTTCTCGACTTTCCCCGATTCCTAGAAACACAGGCGAGGGGTTATTTTCTGGGGTTTATAGGTGTATGCTAAAAATATGTAACCCTAGATACACTTTCGTACAAGTAGCATATTTTCCAATGCTTGCGCTTAAAAAACAGCTATAAAAGATCTTTTTTTGAAAAAGAGTGTGTGTGTGTGTGTGTGTGTGTGTGGGGGGGGGGGGGGGGGGGGCAATTCGGCACCGTTTGAAGGCAGCCCCACTTGCACATATTACCAGAAAGCGCTGGAAATGGTTTGTGCAATGTGTCCAGTAGCTCAGTCTAAACGAGCTGATTACGAATGGACTTAATACCTATGTTGTGTTAGCCTGAATAGACCTCGAAAACGTCTGAATACCGTTATCCTAAAGTGTGCACCACCGTTTCAATTACAAGATTACACATTTACTGAATGAACACGTGAGCCTGAGAATGCACAGTTATGTATATCCTCGCCGGCATCGAAGCACTTTGGACGAAACTCGCATTTTCGCGAAGTGGGACACCTTTACACGAAGAGTAACCCCATACGAATGTCTGAACTGACGACTTTCTGACTCCAGGCGAGTGCCCGTAGGTGAAATCCAAGGCGATCACTGAAAGCTAGCGGCTGCCCAAGTAAGGACAGCAAAAGAATGCCCTTAAAATCAGAGAGGTTCAATGACAATCATTGTTATCACGCACACACACACGACTTCGTCAAAAGTACTAAGCCGTTGCAATATTGCTGGGTGACGAGAAATTACGAGCCACTATACCAGCTATCAACGGTGCCGCCGAACTAACCAACCACCAGTACGCCGCATCTGCGGTGCAAACCACTCTACATTAACTTACCTGAAGCACGCACCCCAGAGATGAAGCAGAGCGTAAGGACACATAGCAGGGTTCGGGGAGGCTGTTCCGAATCTCTATCAGCTGTTATTGTTTGCCAGAGAGATTAGGACTAACGTGGTGAACGAACCGTTAGCTACAATTCTTCGCTGTCAACGGCAAAGGAAAGCTTACAATATAATCGGGAATCGAACCACATTAGTTAGTAGCCAGTCTGTACCATTCTATGAAAAGGACAAAGCTCCGAATTCCGGCAAAAAGCACTTGAAATACACACACACACAGTCGGACACGAACAGAAAGAAGCTAATGACCTCAAAAACGAAAGAGGGACGGAGACAGACAAATGATTGGCTCTGGATTGCATTGGATAGTGGAGTAAAGACATTCCATCGTCAGCACTCCGGAAAACGTTTTGGAGCTGAAAATACCAACGAACGTGGAACTTACAGGGCATAGTGGTCAGAGGATAAAATAATTCGAATCGCAGCAAAGGGTTTTCGAAAGCCGCGTGCAAGCGAACCAAGTGACAGAAGGGCGCCACCGACCTGCGAAACCGCTGCGCCGCTGCCAGCGTCGCCGCGCACTATCGCCCTATCGCCGCGCCGCTTCACCCGCCCCGCGGCGCCGGACAAGAACGCGACCAGGACCAGGCCTTCAGCGCAGGCGGCTTATCAGGATTACTTTTAATAATTTTTGACGCTATCGCGCTGGTTCGGAACGGCTGCACGGCTCTAAGGAGGAACACTTTCCGGAGGAAACTGTGAGTCTTTATCCTTTCTACCGAGCATTTTCTTTCGACCGTACTGGCCCCGCAACGCGTGCAGCACGGCCCGTAAAAGGCAATTCAAAGCCCGTACGTGAATCGCTGTTTGATCGGCGTAAACAAGCCGCACATACTGCACCGTCTCCCCGCACGTCTATTTTATTTCGGAAGTTCATTCGATGTAAAGAGCTTTCTTTTAAAACGCCCGAACAAACGCCGAGCGAGTATTGGCTTACTGGAGATCCCGGAATGAGAACGAAACCGGGCAGTCGTGCGGGGGGTGCATGCCGCGCTGCTGGACACGCCTACAAGCGGAAAAGGCCGCGAGAGCGGTCCAGACGACGGGGCAATCTTCACCCGTTTTCTGTCCAATTATTCTTTTTATTTCTTCGTCGAAAGGTTGTTCTCCGCTTCCGCCCCCCCCCCCCCCCCCCCCCCCCCTCTCCCATTTTTTTTGTTCTTACGTTTAGTATATAAATTCGAAGCTTGCGCAAATTAAGACAGATTGTGGTCGCATGCTTGCGCATCATTCCTCGGTGTAACAAATTCCTTTATATGTGTTCTGATCTTGTTTCGCGACTGATGCTTCCACGCAGCGATTGATAATGAACGGCTTTTCAGTCAATGGCCGCGGCTTATGCGGCAAGTCGAAAGTGACGCGAAGCGTAATCCACGTAATACCAATACCGCGTTCGTCGGAAACGATGAGTTTCCGACGAGAGCGCACGAAACAAAAATGAAGGATGACACTCTCCAGCCGAAGTGCCGTTAGTAGCGTAGGTCGTGCGCGATTGCTACGGCAACGAAAGCCCATGCTAAGTGCGCCTGCGCGAGTATGAGAGAATTGTTCAATGCCGCCCTACCCTTCCCACCCCCACGACCCACAGTCCTACCGTGCCCACACGCTCCCCCAAAGAAAAAGCAAAAAGATGGTAAAGCCACGAACGAGCGTCCATGAAAGGACCTTCACTATTTACCGATTTTTTTAATTTTTGCTTTGTTTTTGTTTGGGTGCCTTGGTTTCGGCGTAGCATAGAAAAGTCTTCGGCGCGCGTCTTCGTCCTCGGTCGGGAATCAGCGGGTGCAATAAAAGGTTAAACTCTGATCAGGTGTGCGTCACGTTCGCGTACGTCAGCCGTGTCACGAGCTTATGACGAGATGCTCTTGTGCGATATGTTTGTTCTTTTTGTCATATCCATTGAATTTAGTTATCTTCTATACTCCGTTTCACCTTATGTTGTACCGCAGACAAGGCTAGAAGTGCGAGCTAATAGCGTTGGGAGCTACTCTTTTAACGCACGAGAGCTTGTGCCGCCTTGATGTGCCCTAGAGCAAGGAGCTCGCGCTTGTAGCCTTTTCTGCGGTACATCATAAGGTGAAATAGAGTATAGCGAACGGCTTTCAAATCTATTTCTGCTCACAGACTGACTTACATCATGTGGAAAACTAAGAAAATTGCATGGAGCATGTGTTTGGGGTGTGGAAGCAATGTGCCTTTTATTCATTCAGAGGCCGTCTTATTTTGAGGTTGCTTAGTTTTGTATAAGTAGACCCTAGCTCAGCAGCTGTTAAGTGGGCCCTTGCCACCTGAACAAAAATTGGGGAACTTTTTTTAATGAGACCATGAAATATTTTTGGATCAGTCAACCGACAGGTTCTTGATTTACGACAATGTGACGTAATTGAGTTGTTCCAGTAAAAAGGAACTCTTTTTTTTTCTACTTTTATCTGGGTAAACAAAATTTATAAAGTGTAAAATTCCTTCAACACTAAGATCCTAATTGGAACATTAATGAAAAGCGGAATTGCAGGGCATGGGACGGTGTAGTGCAGGTTTAGAAAGTTAGCTTGATCCGGAAATGACATCATGTTTACTGTAATCCAGCCAGACTTGCTTTAATTTTTATTATTCTTTTGCCTAGACTATACCTACTGTAGCTGTTGCCATGTCTTGTGTCTGAATCATTGGGTGCCTCATTGAACAGCAGCTAGCAGAGCAGAGTGACGTTCTGACCCGAAACATTGCTGGGGTGTGTATTAGATACTGTTTTTCCGGAGTTAAAATTCCACATAAATTATGAGTTGCACTTATAAATTAGAGGTATTCAAGTGTGGTATTTTTATATTATCTCGGTTCAAAAGGCCAGCAAAACATTGTACAGAAAATGGTGTAAGGCAGGAAGGTTTTCTGCAACAAAAATAAACGAGCAGACCTTTGTCTATTTCCCTGAATATTCGTTGTGTGTCAGACAATTCATTCCATCAAAAAGACAGAGTGCTCGACAAGAAGTCTTGCCTCCCAGACAGGAGCAACTTAAATACCAAGCAACAATAAAAGCCCATTCAACAATTTGGGGCTGAAAGCGTAAATCAGGACTGCACCTTCCCACTTCCTTGTGCAAAGGAGTTTGGCATCCTGCCAAGGTCTCTGTCAACCCTCTGGGAGCTGAGACCCTGGTTTCCAAAATAAAGCGGCTGCAGTACTCTCCACGTTAGAAGGAAAGCTGAAAAGCGGACACGTTTGTCTATTTCTTGCTTGAACCACACAAGGCAGGACACACTTGTCTCGGCGTTCACAAGCTGTGGCGACTCTCTGTGGTCCAATGGTAGCCCCTGAGCTAATAAACAGCAAATCATTGACTCTTTGGGGGTGGATTTTTGTCGGGCCAGCCTCATCCAAGTCGTCCACTCTAATACTATACTTTGGTGGTCATTGTTGCTGACAGGCAGGAGCCAGGATTTTGATTCGGGGGGGGGGGGGGGGGGGGGAGGGGAGGGGAGGGGAGGGGAGGGGGAGGGGGAGGGGGAGGGGGGTACGCCACCTATGACAAAATGCTGTATGAGGTGGAGGGAAGAGAGGAGGCTCCAGCAAAATGGACAATTTTGGGGGGGGGGGGGGGGGGGGGGGCGGGGGGGGGGGGTCGGCCGGCCATGGCTCCCCCCCTGGATACGTGCCTGGTTGCTGACTTGCCTGTTATGCCCGCGTATTTTCTCCGGTGCCCAGCTGACTCTGCTTGGTGCGCTTTGGTTCGACGTTCATCATATCTGCCTGCTTAGTCCTAACTGATCAGTAAATTGCTTTGCTCCTTTTTTTTTTTTTCTTCCTGGTACCGCACCCCACCAGAGGGACGTTCCAAGCTGTCCAGGATGCAGGGGCAGGGCTTCCCAGACTCGCACACCACGACGGTGACGTCGACCACCACCAGGACCACTTCGTGGTTAACGTTTGACCCTTCATACCTTCGTACAGTGCCAGGAATCCTCAAGGGAGCGCAGCTCGTACGCTCCGTTTTCTCTCTCTCTCTCTCTTTCTTTCTTTCTCATTTTGAGCTGGCCTCCAGCTGTGATGTTGAAAAATGTTGAACCTGCGAATGACAAGAAATGCTACCTTCATTTTTTAGACAGAAGGGTGTTGTGTATACTCTTTTGCACGATGCCATGGCAGTGAGGTTCTGAGCAGTGTTGCTCTACTTTGGTTTGATTAAACTTTTCACATTCATTCTATAAATAAAATAAATAAACTCAAAGGGTACACTCAGTAAATAAAATAAATTCAAATGAAGTTGGCAAGAATCTTTCGATTCTCTTTTAATGAAGACTAATTTAAAACTAAAATTTTTTTTATAAAAAAAATGGCGATTTGTGATAGTTTTCATTCAATAACAATGGTTCTTGTAACTGTATTTGCGACCAATTTTTGAAATTGAGGCACAAGAAGTTTCTCTCCTTTTCATCATGCTTGCTGATGTTGACATTTTGCTGTCACTGTACTTCAGCAGGTGTCAATGTATGGATACGACTCTCGGTCGGAGGCGCACTGTATTTAGTCCCCTGGAGCTGTGCTTTTCAATTGGGAAACCATGGACGTCTTGGGGTCTGTGAAGCACTCTCTAGTAACTCAAGCCCAGCTGTAATTTTTTTTTTCTTTGTCATGCACAGAAGAAACATTTAGTGCCCCCCATAGGTGCCTGGCAAAACTACCTAGATACTATACTATGTAATTGTTTTATCATATGCTCTTGTTCAAGGAAGAGCTGCACTATTAATATTTGTGTACTTCATTCTTTCTTATTTTTCTGTAACTAAACTAGCAAGAGTGATTGAGCCATTTGCTTCTGCTTCATGTGCATTTCTTGTGGCTGAGGGTACATGCAGTGTGTTGTTTTGTTAAGAGTAAGTTGGACTGATTTAGTCAGTTTGGTTGAAAGAAATCTGCTCAGTTCAAAAATGAATTGAAAAAGTATTGGGTAGATAATATCAGTATTTTCATTATGGATCTGTTGCTGCATGTAAAAACAATGAAACATGTATATTTCAGCTGCTTGATGCACAATTTGAGCCTTAAAGGGATACTGAACTGAAATCTGGATTTCACAAAACACGCGGCAAAAGCGTGCAATGGGATGCTACAAACACCAAAACATCACTCGTAGCCCGATACCTCGAACAGATGACCGTATTTTTCAAAAAAAGGAGGCGCTTTTGACAGAAATGTTTATGTGAGGCGGAAACAAGATATCTCTACGTCACTCACGCACCTCGTCGGCCTAGTTCTATCTTGACCTTTTGCCAAAAATATGGCCGTCCATTCAAGATATCGCCTTAAGAGTAGTGTTGTAGGGATTGTAGTGTCCCGCCTACATCTCCTGCATTGTTTTTTTTAAATCCAAATTTCGGTTCACCATCCCTTTAAAGTGTGGCATCTTGCGAGAAAAAACGCACCAGAAGGCGTCACAGCTTGAATAGGTCATTCCTATAACCGTAAATACTGCAACTTGGTATTCCTGTTCACCAGAGAATGACTGGAATTCCCTGTTCGGCTCATACTCTTTGTTTCTCTTTCCAGGATATCTTAGTGGCACCAGTGAAATTTTAGCACGCGGTTGTATGTAAAGCAAGAGTTTACTTGCCGTTAACGAGACTCTTTGGCTCTCGTTTCAGATCATCAACTTGATAGGCTTCATCTGCTCACAACTCTCCATCTTATTTCCTGGGACCGTGAATTGGTTTGGTTTTGTGTCCATGACAGCCTTCTGGGTGACACTTGTTCTGCTCTTCTTTTACATCTTCCACATCATAGAAAGGATCAAAATTGTGCCCTGGATGCTTGCCGTAAGTTCATTTTATGCACCTTAAGTTTGGAGACAGTCACAATGCTTTTTGGAACAAGCAAACATAGTCTTTTTCTCAGCCCTCTCATGGGGTGATTGACTAGGGGAAGTTCAGTCTTCTTGGATGTGCAAAGCTCATGTTTATCTGATTTGTTTACATGAAATCACTAATAACAATGTTGGATCAGTGTGACGTCAGAGTATGAAGGAAAGATCTATGGTAGTTTTTTGGTGAGGCTTCATCTCCGACTTAAATTTCTGTAAACCTATTTTTCGCGGGCTCAATATCTTGCGATCTAGGTCAGGGCTGAAGTTGTGGAATAATTCGCAGGTTCTCATTTTCACGACGCGGTGGAATCTCAATATAGATTCCAATGTGTTTGCATTTTACCAAAATTGTTCGCGGGACCTATTTTTCGCAAATTGTAGGCGATTCGCAAAAATCAAGTCGTTTATAATGAGTAAATTAATTCAAACACATTTCGCATTTCCAGTTTGGTGTGCTGTGTGTGCCAATAAACAGATAAATGACCTGTCTTGTGTGGAGCTCTGCCAATGAAAATAATAGGAATCCTTCTTAAGCTGGTGTTCTGTTTTCTAAAGGCATCTTACAATGTGAACATGCTCCATGGTTTGTAACCCTTCCGATTTTACACAAATTTGCCTCCAGACAAATAGCATCATTAAATAGCTCTATTTGATACAAATACAAGTAATACCAAGCTTATGGTTGTCTCATAAAAGTAACATTGCAAACAGTGTAACCCAAAACATGAATCAATTAACACTTAATGTTTCAGCCTTCTATAATCGCACTGGAACGAAGCATTAAACATGCTTGTGACTAAATTTGAGAGTGACGCTTTGCAGTCTAATACAGTAGGCTCGCGTTAATTCATACTCGGGTATTTCATACTTTTGGTTAATTCAAACAAATTTCAACATTTTTTTTTTTTTTTTTCAGTTTTTAATGTATTCATAAGCCGCTTAATTCGAACGGCATTTTCGTGCAATTCATACTTTTTGTTCTCACGGCCCCGTGCATTGCAAAGAGGAACACCCGTAGAGCTTGCTTCCACGGGTGTTGTTTCTCCACAGTACACTGGTGCTCGGTGAGAAACGCACTTGACGGGGCTCAAGCAGGCGCACGAGCTATGAAAACAGACACCACGCGAAAATTTCTATACTAACTCGCGCAGACACTGCTATGTGGTGGCATGGCATAGTTGCACATCACCGTGTTCGCGCAAGTTAATATGAAAACTGCCACTCGGTGCCCATTTTCATCGCTCATGTGTCCCCCGCTAAATAGTCTGCATTAGACAACCTCTTGGCCTGATGAACAAACCTAATTTTGTTTTGAGTTGTCATGTGCTGTCAAACAGTCCATGATAAGCAACATTTTTGATGGATAAATAAACTTATGACATACATTTCACAAATGTTCCTTGTGTGGCATACCTGCTTACGATCAGTAGGCCCATGCAGAGGAAATTATCAGATATCTGCTTTGTAGCCATTCAAATGTATGGCAAATCATAATTTTATCTCTCATCATATTTAAATGAATTTGTGATAATTAAAACAGAATTTGTTGCTTCCTGGAGTTTGAATTGACGAGTCTCCTGTAATGCCAAAAATGCAATGTTTACAAAATCAATTTTTTTTTTTTTTTTTATGGTTGTTAGTTATTATAAGAGACATGTCCTGTATTAATAAGATCCTAGAGATTGAGGTTTTTTGCAGCTTAATTTTCAAAAGTCTTAATTATGTACATCACTTGGGCACAAACAAAATATCACATGCTGAGTTATCGAAGTCCTCCTAAATGTGCCTCTTTAAATGCTTTGTTTTTAAGAAGTTAAAGTTGCTGTTACTTTTTAGCACTGCTACTCAGCTCCTGCCATTTATGGTATACTCTAAAACCCATAATGTTTGCAAGCCCCTACTTTTCACTTCATAGCTTTAAAAATGTGCAAATATTTTAATTGTTTAGCCAGCCTTTACAACTAACAAAAATTTAATGGTCTTAAATGTGTACTACTATATACGAGGCATGGCTATTAAATAACGAGACTGGTTACAAAACTGTTTTATTGTTTCAATCTTAAAACAACTGTTTTCTCCTTCAACCTATTTCCTCCCCTATCTATACACTGTTGCATACAAATTTGACACAGTGCTGCAGGTTATCATATATACACCCCTTCAGCAGCACCACTATTTTCTGCTTTACCTTGTCCACAGCTCTGCCTCGCCTTTGTCAATCTCAATGACGTGGCAGTTTTCCAGTGCATTGGTTGTCTCTGTTTCTGGATTGTACTGCAAAATCCACGTCTTGTCACATATGTGATTATCTTTTCTGTTAAGTGAGGTTTGCTGCAAGTACTTCCATGAAACCATTGGAAATCTGTTTTCGGGCACCTTTCTGCTCCTGATTGAGTTTTTTAGCCACCATTTTGGTGCAGACCTTATACAGGTTTATTGGTAATGTAAAAATTTGTTTTGCAGTAATAATGGGAACCTGCTATCATCTAAATGCTTAATCGGTGTTTGTTGCTAGCAATTTCACTGATTTTTCACAATGCTTTGTTCAGTTGTGTGCAGGGACAGGGTTACTCAGTCGTTTGTCATCTGCAACGTTCTCCTGTCCCTCGGCAAATAGTTTGTGCCATTATAATGCTCGTGCACATGACATCACATTATCACCTAACGCCTCCTCCAACAGTTCTAAACACTTGCTCGTCGACTTCTGCAGTTTTAAACACTCGCTCGTCGACTTCTGCAATTTCATTAGAAAGTTGAGACCGATGCATTGCTCTATTATATTTTTTAATAGATACCGGCAAATCCAGAGAAGTAACCTCCAATCCGGTTTTTATCAAAATCGGGGAAAATCAAGAAACCCTTAAATTGGAGCCATCCTTGAACAACAAAAAAATGTGCTTCTCTCGAAAAAGTCTTTATCTACAGCGTTATTATGCATTAACCCAAAATACAACCTCCACTGAACTTTCAGGAGGTTGCTTCATTCTTCGTATTTTTGCGTGTCATGCGCGCCACCGCATATAAACCGTACCCCCAACTTGCTACTCCCGGAAAACTAAAAAAAAAAAAAAAAAAAAAATGCACATTGGCCGGCGCTAGCCACTCATGGCACCGTCTAGATCTCGCTAGATTCCATACCTTTATTTTGAATACACCCACGCTGGTGCCTCGTTGCAGATGACGTCGTCATCCTTGCCGTAGAGGCGATTGCTGATGCATCACTTCTCGAAACTGTTTTGCACCCTCTTGTCTAAAAAAGTTGCGGTAACGCCAGATCTCTGTTGATGCGGTGTGACCGCGACTTCTCCTTTCCGCGACAAACTTTGCAATTGTTCTTTCAAGCTTGGAGTATGCACTAGTCTTCGGAGCGCGGAATGGTCTTCGGTCACAGCTTGCAGTTTGCAGCGTCTCATTTTTACTCCATTCTCGCCCACACGACTCATCAACGTCGTAGCGGTTGTAGTTCTAGCCTGCCACTTGGTTTCCATTCTCTTCGGCAGTGAATTTGACGGCAGCGCGGAGTGGCGATCGGTGTCTTGGAGCCTGCGGAAACAAAACAAAGATCGCTACCCCAGAAAAAGGGAACGTGGGGAGATGAAAGTCCCTAATAGGGATCGGAGAAGAGGGACCCAGGGGAATGTATCCCTACAATTTCGCGTAAACTGTCGTGAAACCGCACTGCCTGCTGAAATTTGCGTGTAACCTGCACCCCGACTGTGCCTTTGATTTTCCATGAATTTCGATATGGGTTATACGCGAAAAAATACAGTACACATAGCTCAAGTCCAACGTCATCACACTGTACCGACGGTCATTCATTCGAAATCTGTGGTGCGAAACATAAACTATGGAAGGTACAGGTACGCACGCAGCAGTGAGGTCCTTCACAATGGCCACTGATGTGACGCCAGTTTGAGCCAAGTTTGCCGTCTACGGGGCACCGAGCCTCATCAATTAATGACGACATCTAATAAATATACGGTCCCAAACGAAAGAAATTTGAACGACGAAGCGACAGGCTCTTTCCCTCTTTGTGCCACTGAACGGCCATCGGCAGAAGCTTTCACGGGTGCGCTTCGAGGGTAGGTGACGGTGCCAGGTGGCTGGCCCTATCGGGAAAATTTAATTTGTGCTAATTTGTTTCCATCACATGCATTGCCAATTGCGGCAACTTCACCGAGTAGACACTGTGGCAACTTTTATCAGTCCCACACTACTCTATGAATTGTGATGTCACTGTAAAATCAATTTAAAATTGATTTTTTTTTTTAGTAATTACTGGGCATTAAAAATGCCTGTGCTGTGCATTGTGAACTCTGTGATTACTGTCGCAACCGTTTATAATGAAGTCTGTTATAACGATATAGTGGCTATAGCGAAGCGATCCCGATTTCCTATTCCTGTTTGAATGCTTTTGACTCCTTGCAGGCTGCAGCTCGTTTTGCAAACATGGCCCACGAACCATGTGACTCCGATCGAGCAGTTGCTCCATTTCTTAAATCTAGGCTCTTAATACTGACGAAACACGAACTTGAGTGCAAACTCGGTGCCATGCGTGCTTTTTTGCTGTCCACCGCCGGCTTCCTTCTTGGCTGTCGTCGCAGCTGTTGATAGGGCTCTAAACGCAGTCCGTACATAGTTCGCAGGATTTTATTTCGATCAAAGCTTCTCGCAATTGGCGAGAAGCACCTCCGATCTAGCAGAGAGCGCGTGCTGGGAAGCCTCGATTGCTTTCTGCAAGCACAATATACATGTGCCGTAACAACTACAGTAAAACCTCGTTATAACAAAACGGGATATAACAAACTAATGGATATAACAAAGCAATCATAATTCCCCTTGCTTGCTAATAGTGGGAAGAAATGGACATTGGCTATAACAAACTAATGGTTATAACGAAATAATTACGACCGCTCCTTCAACTTTGTTATAACAAGGTTTTACTGTAGTGTTTTTTTTTTTTTTTTTTTTTTTTTTTTTTTGCGTGTTACATTTATGGGGTTTAAATATAACAAAGAAGCGGATATAGCGAGGTTATTTCACTTTCCTGTCGACTTTCTTATAACCGGTATCGACAGTAGGGGTGCATGTGGTTGAAGACTGAACGAAATCTGCACAAATGTCATCTACCGAAAGGGTCTGTCACTTGGCACCATGACTAGTCTCGAAGCACACCGCAGACTAGCAAGCACCTTCGCTGTTGACCGTTGAGGGACACAATAAAGGCGAGAGGCAGTTGCTCTGTCCATATAGTTATTATAATGTACGCCAGAGGTTGAACTGGCACTAGTGTCTATGCGACTTCTGTGATACAAATTGAAGCAGACAGCAGCCAGTCTACTTTTGCGGTGTTCCTGTGCATTCCTATGGGAAAATGTGCATACATTTTGTCTCTTTGCCGGAGAATAACAGGAATCACCTTTGTTACTTGGGTCGTGCGTAGGTAACTTTTTGAGCATTATAAAAGTGTGCTTTAGTTAAAGTATTTTTCTTGATTGGTGAACAATGTTAAACTTTGCTGTATTTCACGGCCAAACCTCTGTTTCATAGCAGGTGTGTAAAAATGAACATTGATTTTAAACAAAATAACAGTCGATATGAAACATAAATAACAGTAGGGTGTGCAAGATTCTCTAGCATTCCGGTGACACTTATATATTGCTAATAGGTCAGTCCTGTCACTACATGTATATGAAAATTACTCCATTGTGCATCTTTACAAGCAGTTAACAACATTCAAAACGTAAAGAATAAAGTATGTGGGCTATGAAAGGGGTTTCTTTTTACTATTTCCTTTGCCGGGCACCTTTTATCGGGCACCTGTTCTCTGGCTTCTAGATATTTTCAAAGACTTGGAGGGTGCGGGGGATGTTTTGGACGTAGAACAAGCATCTTTTGTAGTCTTGTGCGAATAGTGGATTTTAAGTTCGAAGCAAATAGTGGATTTTAAGTTTGAAGCGAATAGTGGTTTTGGCCTAATATTTTCGATTAGAATATTGAATAGTCTTTCCATGCCTTTCACTACCATTGCCTCATGCTTAGACGAAAACCCAGCTAAACTTGTGAAGGTTGTTCCACTCGTTCATTTATACATAACTGTGACCTCAGAAGGTCTGACGTCTTGGGATGGCAAGTAAACGACGGATTTGACATAAAATGAATCCTATAGAGATGGCCAACTATACCCAATTGAGTGAATTTACAAATCTTACTACAGTGTAGACCGCATATAACGTATGTCGCGGGGGTCGCGAAAATCCACACTATAAGCGGTACCGCGCTATAACCAAAACATCAATTTTTCAGGCCAAAATACATGCCATGAGACAACTTACCTTTGTAAAAGAATTTATTTTATGTTAGATGAAAAATAAAGCTTAGTTTGAGGAAAGTCTTTATTTCACCAGACTAGTACAGTTGTGTCTCAAGTGTGTCACACAGTTTGAAAGAAATTAGCGGCTTTTGCCTGGCGCAGCCTTTTAATCGCGTCGCGAGTTGCGGAAGGACGTTGCGAGCGTTCAGCATTGCTAACCCTAATCACTTTTCTCCGGAGATGAAAACGCGTGAAAATTCGCATCCTTCATACGGTACGCGCCAGTAATACCTTGAACTTGAGCACACGTATGAAATGCGCCGAATAAGAAATCCGGGCGATGTTCGAGGACACAGATGCTTAGAAATCACCACTGTAGTCAAAGTAAAAAAACACGACGACACGGGCGTTTCTGCCGTCTTGAGAGCGCCGCCACGACATCGCCGCACGAGTAGGTGGATCTTCCCTTCTAGTACGTGCTGGGTTATCATAGCGACACACAACGAAAATTCAGTCAAGGATAGCGCTTTTACGCAGAATGATGAGATGAACGCCGTCTACGACGACGATCACAATTGACGCCATGTTTGCGGAGCAGCCGGCCCGCGACCGGCATGCAACGCGCGCGAACACTTCTCCTCGATCTGCGATTGGTCTGTCGGTGCGGTTGTTTGTTTCTTTGTTTCCAACGCAGCGGAGAGGCGAGGGACGCACGCACGTGAACGACACGCGCGTGCGTCTCTCCGTCGCTATGGCAACTGAAGCCTCTCTCTTCGCTTCTCCCCACTTCTTCGAGCAACATCCTCGCCCCGCGCCGTTATCTAGTGTCGCACAGGGTAGCGTGCTCGCTGCTCCGGTCGTCAGCGCGGTCGGTGGGCTGTGCCAAAAACCGCACTATAACCGGTATTTCCCTTCGCGCGCCTGCATTTTAAGCGGTATGTAAATACATGGAGTTCTATGGGAGGCGAACCGGTGGTTTAAATAAACCGCGTTATACCCGGTCCTGCACTATAAGCGGTTACGTTGTAAGTGGTCTATACTGTATATGAAATATTCTTTCTTCAATCTCGAGCTAAAAAAAGGAAGAATCGCGCATGATGAACGCAGGTTGTAAGAGGGCATCTCTGCCTAACATAGTTATACTCTTGCATAACAGTCAGTTGAATTTTGAAACTTTTACTACAATGTAGATATACACATTCACAAAGTTTTCATTTATTTTCAAATATAGCTGGCACACGTGCTCCATCCTGCTTTGAATGTATGCTTTTCTTGCAAGCACGCAATCGCGATATTTTCCAAGTGTTTATCGCAACGGGTTATCCCGTTAAGTGCGCTTCTTACTGAGAACTGGTGTAATGCAGAGAAGCAACACCCACAAAGTTCGCTTTTGCGGGTGTAGCTTCTCCGCAGTGCACCGGACCTCGGTAAGAAGCGCGCTCAACGGGGCTAACCTGCCGCAATAAAAACTTCGAAAAACGCGAATAGTGCAGTTCTTTTCAAAACGAATATCAAATAGTGTACTATTCGAAACTACCCTTCGAAATTTCGAATATTCGCACAACCCTAATCTTTTGCACATTAGCATGAGCTGAGAGAATAAAGCAATACTTATTTATTGCTTGCAAATCGGACTACATTACTTCAAGAAAGTAAGTAAACAGGCATAAACCATAGATGACGGACGAGATGTTTTGTGTTGTTCCACTTCTTCGTCCATCATCTCCGTTTTTTTTAACATATGTTATATTACTTTGTTTTCACTTTATGTTGACTTCTACATGAGTAGGCATTTACTGATCCAGCGTTACTGCGCAGTTCTTGCCGTCTTTCTTGCTTTTTCAGATGACCTTCATTCGTTTGGCATGTAAATCCCCCATGCAGAAAAGCGCCGATGCCATGTTCGTGCTAACAATGTCCGACAGTGCACTTAAATGCATGTATGAAGCTGTTTGAGCACTGTGTTTAATGAATCAATTTGGAAGAAAAACACCGTAACTAAACAATATTTGATTTACATGATTGAGAAATGTTCCAACCTATTTACTATGTTATAATTATTTGTAATATTTGCTTTTATAATGAAGCACAGAGAAGAAATGCAACCGCTTTTTTCCGTATGAATGCATTACTGGAAGTCAATTTTCGACTGGTTGATGTCTGCTTCAATTCGCAAACAGCACACTAGCGCTTGCTGAACCTATAGAGTACATTATCATACCTCTATGGCTCTGTCGTTCTCGTTTGTTTTATTCAGGGCCGTACATAGACTTGCAATATGTTCTCATATCATTCTGTTCTGTCATTGTCTACCTCTGTAACCTGACACATTTTCTCTGCTCTTTTTCAGGAGTTTGTGTACTGCGGCGTCTGGGCAGCACTCTACTTCACAGCCGCCATTGCTGTTGCAGTGAAGGGGAAGTGGGAGGAGTGTTTGGCTGCTGCTGCCGTGAGTGATTGTGCATATATTGATTTGTTTTCATTCCAACAGTGCTTTCAATTTCTCTAGATTCTTTCCAGCTGTTTAAAGCAGGCATTGAAGCCATCTGAGAAGATTCATCAGGGTATTTTTGTTTTCTAACATTTGTGTTTGCTACACACTGAACTTCGTTTCATGATAACTTGCCAAACTGTGAAGGCTGTGGCCCCTGCGACCCAATAAGGGCGTCTGAGCAAGGCACACGACAACACTCCATGGTCAAAGCCACAAAGGCCTCGTTACGACCACAGCAACAGCACCAATTATAACAAAAAGTAGTTCTAGGCTTCTTTTTCTTGTAACAGCAATTTAACGTGCGCAATTGCATCTCTATCCACACTATGCTACACGACACGGAAAAAAGAAGAAGACATGTTTCTTTTCAACAGTACTTGATTCGGATCAAGCCTTTTTCGAGAATAACATGGTTTCTGAACGGTGTTTCAACTATCACAGCCCTGTGATCGACCGCTTCTGCTCAAATTGTTGGGCTGCCTCGGTGGCTCCGGGGCAAAGCGCCGGCCTACGGATCGCCAGGTGGTGGGTGGCCGAGGGACGAGATCTGACGGAGGCTTACTGCGGAGAAAGCTCCGTGTAATCAAGCTTTCAGTTGCTCATTAAAAGATTCCCTGGTGGTCGAAATTAATCCTCAGTCCTCTGCTGGGGCGTGCCAGATGCCCTTCGTTGGTTTGGCACGTAAAAGCCCCAAATTTGACGTTTGCTCAAAACATCGCCCTGGCAGCACCTGCCACAGATTCATGGGTAAATTGAGCATATGCTCGTCTGGTAACTTCCCGAAGAGCTCGCTACTCTAGCGGACGGCAATGTTGCGGCGGTGGACGTCCATCCGAAGTGGTAAATGGTTTTGCAGCAGACGATTCGTGGCCAGCAGTCGACAGCCGATTCCTCTGGGCTTGCGTTTGGTGCAGCGACACAATTGCTCCGTGTCATGGGGTCACATGCCTGACTCGACGCTTTTATTGGGTTGCGGGGGCCGAAACCCTACCTGCCTTCAATAGTAGTTGAGGAACCCCTCCTGGTCTTGGTATTGAAGCAAAAAAGCTCTGCAGAAGCTTACAACTAGACAATGTAAACAATAATGTATGTACTGGGGATTGTTTGGCTCATAGTGGTGGGTGGCCTAGATTTGGCAAGATAGTTCAGCTGCCAAAACACTTCACCTAGGGACAAGGAAATGTAAAAGCTCGGGGAATCCAGGGGTTCCCCAGAGTATGCAGGTTTCCTCGACCGTCCATAGCCCCAAGCAGTATTGTACACGTTCCTCCAAAATAGAAACGAAAGCTTGTCCCCCGTTCCTTCTCAATCTTGGAACAAGTTCCCATTACAAGTTCCAGTGGTTCAAAAGGAATGCATTCCCATTAGATTTCTAAGATTTTAATGTGTCATTACATTAACATCATGTTTGCATATTTTAATGCAATATTGTGCACATCAATAATGAGAAGCTTTCATGTCTACTAAATTTGTGTAAAATTTCAGATATATAGTGTATGAAAAAGGAAAGCCGTTTTTCCTGCTGTTCCCTCGAAAATGTAATGAGTTCCCATTTGAGTTTCCCTGATACAGGATCGAACGGCGGCATTACACCTAAAAGGATTGCATTCCAGGAATATTGTTCCTCGCAAAGCCGTTCCGTACAACACTGGCCACAAGTAGTGTGTCCCAGTTTGGCAGATCTGAACCAGTTACATAACTATCTGCCTAATGCTCCCTAATATGTCAACATTTGTATACAATTTCTGTAGGCTTCTGTGCTGCTTCGTTGCAACATGCCAAGACAGGGAGGTGTCCCTCGTCTGTCATTCAAGAAAGAGAGTTTTCCTTGAGATTGACAAGTTTTGGAACCCCTGCACTAGAGGTTCACCATAAAGTAGTGGCATGCTGGCCTATTTTGGAAATATTCACTACACTCCCACTTGTTGAGAGGGCAGAACAGTTGAGAATCATGTATTCCTTAATGAAGTTTCTAGACTATAGTTTTGGGTGTTTGCAGAAAAGTTGCCTTGCAATCAAGCTAGCATGTTAACTTTGTGAGGGGTAAGGCAGAGTTTCCAAGTTCCTTGTCTAGGAATGGCATCAAGGGATGATGGGGCATGTTTTTGCTGCCCATGCAATTTGACGGAGATTTTTCCATACATTCTCTTTTGGCATTAGCACATGATGCCAAATGCATAATACCATTCCCTCCATCCCTCTCTTGTTCCCATGCACTGGTTTCCTGTGGAGGCAGTTTTTTGGCTTTGTGGCCATGGCCCTGTATGGTGCTGATGCCTTCTTCAAGTACAAGGGCTGGAAGTCTGGAGAGCCCGCCCAGGGTGAGAGATCAGTCCCGGGGGTAGGCCCGGCTGCTTCCAACACGGTGTCGCCGACCAGCCCAAACTACCCCGCCTACTAACCTTGCACGCCAGTAACGCACGATTCTCACAACCCCTGCTGCCAAGAGGCTCGGTAAGTTGCCAGCACGATCCTAGCATTAATCAGTGTGCCATAGTTTTCTTTTTTTTTTTTTTCATCTGAAATATGCCTGCGTAGAGTTTGCTATGGGGTATATTTAAGCCGCCCACAATCTGGTATTTATTATGAAAGCCATGCTGGTTGATGTCTTGGACATCAACCAGCATGAACAAATGCATGAATTCAACGAATTAAGTAAAACCTTGAAGACATAGGAATTAAGATTTGAAACTGCTCGGAGTTCAGTTCTTTCTCTGCTGTAAAAACCTTTTCTTTTTGCAGCCCTGTAGCTGTCATCAGTGCCTGCTTTGAGGAAATTGTCATTGTGATATTTTTTGTGGGTTAATGTTTCAAGTTACTTTAAGGTGTCTACCAACCTGGCGAACCAGGAATTCTCAGGGAATTTAGCAAGTCTGGAAAAGTAAAGTAATTTTTACCCCAATCAGCGATCATCGAGGAAATTGTGCTTTCCTTTATCTGAGCGAGAGCAAAAGACCAGTGGCGTACCAACTTGGTTTTTAAGGGGGGGGGGGGCAAACTAGACCCCCCCCCCTAGGGCCGAGGGGGAAGGCGGTGCCCTTGGTATCCCTAGGGCGCTGCCGGTCAGTGTTTGCGATGCCCGGTGCTGGCTGTTTCGGGGGGGGGGGGGGGGGGGGCAAAACTTATGCCTTGCCCCCCCCACTCTGAGAGCTGGGGGGGCAAGCACCCCCCTTGCCCCCCGGGGTTGGTACGCCCATGTGTGTGACCCACATTGCAGATGACTCAGCCCATGTGCCAATGCAAATCTCTGCTTGGGAACTGGTCTTGGGGGAACTGGGAGGTACAACACGAATCACCTTGTCTTGAAACGCACGCACCAAGGCGAACTTCCCCTATTGTCCTTGTTGTTGCCATGCACTGAACCTTCGCCGAATGACCTCACGACGCAATAGCTTATCTTTCAAGCTTCCTCGCTCACTCCCAAATAAGACTTGTTATGGGCTGCCCGCGGCATGGCGGTTGAGTTCACTTGGGCTGCTTGAGTGAGAACACCTCAAACTTCGAACTGGGGAAAGCGTTGGATTACCAGTGTTTTCACATAAAAACTGCACTTCAGACACTTCTTGGGAGTCAGTCAGAAAATTGTGATAAAGTAGTCAGGGAAAGGCTGGACAAGTGGAGGAGTTTGAAAACATCATTTTAGTAGACGCCCATATTTTGTACCCCCACTAATCGGGGAGCCAAAGCTAACTGATTTATGTTGATGTGATGTCATAAGGGCTGTCCGACATTGCTGGACATGTTTGTGAATATAGTTTACTTCGATTTAAGTATTCATATGTGCAATTTTTTGTAAACATTTGTATGTGCGTAGAATCGTTTCACACCATTGCCACACGTGGCTTAGAAACTTGTAGGTGGGATTTGGTCAGTGAAACTTGCATTAGTAAATTATCACTAAGCTTTCATACTTCCCTATCAAGAAGTAATTGGTAGCTCTTGCAGTCTTGAAAAGTGGCTTGCTTTTATTAACTTTGATTGTTGTGGAAATATACAGTCGCCGATTGATTTTTCTGACTTCACAGGGACCGACAAAACGTCCGAAAAATTGGCAGATTAAAAAATTTTTCTTTATTACATCTAAGCGGGCTTAAAAAAGCCGTCAATAGTGCCTTGCTTCAGGTTCTGACTCCGCTTGTGTTCGGCCATTTTCTATTAGCTTGAGAATCGCTGCCTTTTCTAGCGTTAGGTTCGAGTACTTTCTGCGCTTCTTAGCGACAATACGCGGCGGTGGAAGAACAGATGGGGGCCATGATGTCCAAGCCAGCGTTGTCTGAAAACAATGATGTTAATGATGCGCAGCTAGAGAAAAAAAAAGCTGTAGCATAGCATTACCAAGCAATAGGACTTAGCAGCCAATCCATGTGCAGCCAACATAGAATCTAAAATGGTGGCCCCTCTGTGATGTTTCCTGCTCATCGCTCGCTGTGATTTTTTTCCGAAAAAACAACTGTTGGACTTTAAGCTGCCTGAAACATTGGTCGTGAATATGCACTATTTCTATTGGGCAGGTCACGGTCCTTCCTTTGGGTCCGAAATATTGAACAAATCCGGCGTCCGAAAAATCGGTCAGCAGCTGTATATCAGTACTGCAGCTGTACATCTGGGTTACATATGTCAGTTTTAAAGTATTGAAAAGTGACCTGCCTGGTCCTGTGACTGTTGTGCACCAGTCTGTGGCTGTTTGTTTTTTAGTGCACGATTTTGTAGAACAGTAGGGAAGAAGGGAGCATTGTCATACAGCATGCAAAATGTAGATGAGTGTTAACAGAAAGCAAAATTTAAATAATTTCACCTGCATATTGACATTGAAACAGAAAACATGTCGAAGACGTTAAGTGTATGAGGGTGTGCAGTTTGTATGGAATGTGTATAGTGTAGGCTTGTGTACTGTGGCTCTTTTGTGGTCCATGGTGCAAAGACATATGGAGCCATTATTAACAAGCACCCCAGGAGATACCTAAAAAGTCTAAGCATATACTATGATTTATTATGTTGTAAATAAACGGAACTGAAAATTTGCATTGTGATGATAACGGTCTGGCACACGTCTTCACTTCTTTTCCGTAGCACTCTGGTGCAGTTGTTAGAATGTCCATAAAGTAGCAGTGCAGAAGGGTTTGCTTTCCATGTCTTATGATTTTCGATGTGCTAACATTTTGAGACTGACCAAACTTTAGTTTCATTGAACATATGTGATTGGAGAAAGTGTAATTACCCAGGTGAGCATATTAAAGAGACATACTAGAGCCCGAGATTGAGGGGGAAAGAAAGAAACGGGTCACACACGACATGTTGCAACTTGGTCGGTTCGTAGCATATTTATCAATATTTATAATGCCAGCCTTCGAGTCATTAGTATTCGAGATGCACACATAGAGTGATTGAACTCTTGGAAGACCATTTAAAAATTGTTTCATAGACAAAAAGTGCTCTTTTCTAGGTTTGTGTCTTGGAGAGCTTAATTAAGATATGTTATCTGGCAGTGGACCGAGTGAAATACTGTTACTCCCATGCTCATGCATAACACATGCACTTCTTTTATACTACTGGCTATAACTGTGCTATAGCTGGCTCCTGTGTACTGTTCCAGAGTAGAAAACGGCAAGGATGAAAACTTTCGAGCAAACCCACCCCTTGACAACGAGAGTCTGCGGAGAAAGAAGCTACAGACACATGGTGGCCAAACACGTTGGAACGTGACGGCTCGCCCATCACTTTCCTTCTCTGCTATCTGGAGTCTTAAACTCTCTAATGGGTCCTACCCCATGGTACCTGAAAGGCTTCCAAGAAAATGTGTCTCCAAAAATTGTAACACGTATCTATTCTCGGTCATTCTAACTCTGCTCAAGAGGAGCAACAGGTGTCAACGAACAGGTATATAACACCATTCACATAAACTGAGAAAGGTAGCCAATTGCACACAATCTCAGCAAGGGGTCCAAGCGAAACTGAAATTGCGCCAAGGAGTATATGCGAGGTGAAAGTTTCAAATGATCCGAGAAGAAACTGACATTGGGCTTATTTACATCTTGGTATTTTTTAATAATTTTGATAAAGATCTGTCTTATAACTGGGTACTAGATCTTTTCCTTGTGTGTAGAATGTACTAAATATGTGCCATATACTTCTGCATACAAAAAGGTGGCGATCGATTTTGAATAGTGGCAGCGAAAACACTGTTTAGAGCAAGGGTAGGCATGTGCTCAAATAATTTCCTATTTGTTGTCTGGAGGGAGGCATTGATTGAGGCTGGATTGGGATTTATGTCGAAGGATTGTTTGAAGATGTTCAGGTTGTGAATGAGGAAATGTCACGAATGCATAATAGCAGTGTTAGCACTGTGCCACCTGTTAATTCAAGTGTTACAGTGTATGATTGTAAGACATGTATGTTCATGGGAAGAGTAGCTACACTGGTATTGCATGCACATTGCTGGGCGGGGATGGCATTGTCACCAAAAATGCCTATTAGACACAAATTTTATCAGTTGCATTCAAAGCAAATCTAGGCTGCATTCATTCGTGGGGGTGTTTGGGGGGGGGGGGGGGGGGTGAGAGATGGGATATGTTAAGCTAGTATACACCATGAAAGCTTGTGTGTGCTGTTAAAAGGCAGCTCCTTTTTATGAACCCATGCAAGCTCCATCTCAGGTGTTTGGAGTTCCATGGCCACCCTGTGTTATAATCCCATCCCTGCTTCAGCATTCACCATTAAGACTGAATTAGACATTCTTCCATTTACATTATTGCAGTAGATGTATAGAAATGCAAGTTATTGAAGCTTGCCTTCATTAATGCTTCCAACTGTAGAAATTTCGAATGTGAATGCCACATGAGGTGAAAGATTGGGAAGTCTGGCTTGCCTTTTTCTACACAGGTATGCAAAATGTTTTCCCCCTTGATAAGCTGGTGCATTCTTCATAGTGGCAATTTTTTCTTGGCAACATGCTTGGTACATACAAAACCTTTAGAAACAGTGCCTAGGACCAAATGCTTTGAGGTATTATTTTAAAGCACCAATTTTACTGCCAAATTATTTTCATTGTAACTTTGAATTTTTAACAAGTAACCAAGTGATTGTTTTCTGCACTTGTTTTATATTTGTTTCTTTAGCAGCTTTGGGTGTGTACCCCAGTTTATATTGGTAAAAAATTGAGCATGCACAAGCAATAAAAAAACTGCATAGTAACTGGAAATGCTATTTCAGTCATCGCATCATTAACAACACAGCACCATGTAAGTGTGTAACGTGAATATATTGTTAGTATATCTGTTGCTCGCATAGGTACGTTTGAGATCTGCACATTGTCAGTTGTGTGTGTGTGTTGTGTTGCATAGAAAGTGATCACACATCAGCAAGGTTAGACATGCACCTGTTGACACACACTCTCTCCTTTTAAAGTGCTACAATGTGCCTTGCACATTGTTCTTGCATAGTCTTATTTATGTTGAATCCCTGCACATTGCAATTCAGATTGCCTTCTGGTGTATGTGTAAATGTGTGAAGCTCCAATGGAAATTTCAATTGAATTCTAAATGTCTTTCTTCCTTAAAAATTTAAATGCATTGCCAAAGCAGTGTGGGGCCAAAATATTAATTGCCTATTGTGGGAACCCCACTTGATGAGCTAGGCTTCTGAAGCAGATGATGTATATTCCAAATAAAGGAAAAACCTGTGTTCAGAGTTGTCTGCAAGTATATGAATGTTTCACAATAGTCGTAGATGTTTGTGCTGTGGTCATTACCGTTTTCATTGCATTAGTTTCTTTTTAAGTTGCTAATGACGCACACATTGCTCTTGCAGCGACTGTTCTTATTGTTGAAACAGTATTGAATAATTTGAGCAAACATATCCTGCTAGGTGGCGTGCACAGTTTGCTGAAAACCTTGATGCCTTTTCGGTAACTTTGCAATAATGAGTAATTTTTGCAGTTGCTCCATTTCTGTTGCTTTACCACTAGTGGTTTACCCATACGTGACTTGCTGGAATAAACTTTCTAGAAAAACAGTGAAGTGAGATTGTGTTGTACTTAATTTGCATAATTACATCTGTCTCGATCATTCTCATAAACAAGCACAAAGGGTGTTGTGCCTGCATTAGGCAAGCTTGCTTCGGGTGATTTCCACGGATGACACTCATAAACTCCTAGAATTTATCAGAATGATAAAAAAAATATTCAGAACCTGTGATGTGATATTAGCCGCTCTTAGTCATTTGGAAGCTTGCTGCATGTGCCAAAAGTTTCCTACTACTGCAAGCTTCTTCCGAGTCGTGCTCAGTCCAGTGATCGCACTCCCGTTTGTCTCTATAGTAGCACCAAGCAAAGGCATTGTGTTGTAGATCACAAAGTTTGGGGTGCCATTTCAGCTGTGCCACTTAGGAAACGTCACTAATTATAAGCATGATAATTATGACTACCGTAAAGTTCCGAGAAAACGCCCGCCCCCGAGAGATCGCCCATCCCGTTTTTCTGGCTAAATATCTAACGAAAATTCCGAAACGTCGCCCACCCCCCGATTCCCGTCGGACGTCACGCGATGTCCGACGGGAACACCATCCGCCGCGCTATCTGCTGTACCGGTACGTCTGGTAAGCCAGTTCATAGCGGGTTTCCGCGTTTTTGTCCGCGATCTGCGTGCGCGATATCGGCTCCCGTAACACGCGAGTTGTATCGTGAAATGCGAATGTGCTGCGTCCGCGACCTGCGGTGTCCGTTCCCGTGACATATGAGACCTCGTCGCGGATTCCCGCGTTTTTGTCCGCGACCTTATGTTGTACCGCAGCGAAGGCTAGAAGCGTGAGCTCATGGCGTTGGCAGCAGCTCCTGCACGAGAGTTCGCGCTTGTACCCTTTCCTGCGGTACATCGTAAGGTGAAATAGAGTATATTTAATCCCGCTTGTATATTGCATCGTAAAATACGATTCTGCTGCGTCCGCGATATTCGTTCCCGTGACATACGAGTTTGTAGCGGATGCCCGCGTATTTATTGCATCATAAAACTTTAATCTGCTGCGTCCGTGATTTACGGTGTTCGTTCCCGTGAGATGAAAGTTCTCGGCAGGTTTCAGAGAGTTCTTCGCACGGTAAAACTCGAATCTGCTGCGTCCGCAACCTCCGGAGTCCTTTCCCGTGACACAGCAGATCGTAGCGAATTACCGTGTGTTTATCGCATCGTGAAACGCGAATTTGCGGTGTCCGCGATCTGATCAGCTCCCGCATCACGTGGTTTCTAACGAGTGCCCCCGTGCTTATCATTAATTTTTGATAAAATTTGCTGTGGCATCCCCAAAGATAGCCCCACCCCATGCTTTTCACCGTTTATCTCCATTTTGGGTGGGCGTTCTTTCGGAACTTTACAGTAAGTATGCTTCTGTATGCTTATGCATTGTTTGCTATAGGTTGTCCTTTTTGTTGCCTTGACCTGCACGCAAGTTTTTCGTTACACTCCAGTGTAACACTTGAAATAGGCGGCCCATAAACGCATTGTATTAAATTGTCATGGCATTTCTTCTACTTTAATGTTCAGTTGACTGCCTATTTTTTGTGGTCCAGCCACAAATTATTTATTGTGACAATCATTACAAAACATTTGGCCTTGAAATTTGTGTAAACCATTATTGACATCACAGATTAAAACCAAGACACTGATCAAAGCACTCAAAAGTAAGGCTGATAACATTTAAGAATAGAGAACTGTAGGGAAGGAAATTATGGTATGGCAACAGTAAAAATTCAGAAAAAAAACAATCATGACATGCAGGGTTCAATAGAATGTATACCAAACAGAAAATGTTTTCAATGACTCGATCACTTTGAAAGAACATTGTGAATAGCAGACATCAACCCAGGAACATGTAATGGACATGCACATGAGTAAACTTGGAACACTACTAGCATAACCCTGGACATACTAAGATGGCCACATGCTCAAATGGCCTTGCACTGGGTGATCTGTCCAGGGGTCAGAGGACCACCCCATTGGAAGTCTGATATCTCCCTCCCTCCCCAAGCACCATACTGTAACCATCAACCAGCTTAAATACAAATATGTATCACAGACTAATAGCACTCCACATGATGGAGGCTGCAAGTCATGTTGCAATGGTATTGCTGCGAGGTGCACTTGTAACTCCATCAAGATCCACGGAGACAAAGTTGCTGCTATTAATGCTTGCTGTTTCAGCACACTCCGAATTTCTAGAGACACTTCGTGAAGTTTTGGCGGATTCTGTACGGTCAATCCTGTCCACTTTTAAATTTGGACTAACGGACCTGGAGTCGACAGAGTTTCGCCGAGGCCTTAGGACAACGGGGCCCAAGTTGGACCCACTGTCTTGTCCATCAGAGTTATTGACGCCCGGCGGTGCTTCCCACGAGAGCCTGGAACCATTATCGTCTCCGTGTTGATTTTCCTTGGCCTGGGCGGCTCGGAATGGTAACACCTCCGAGAACTGGTATTCTCCGAGGTACATGGCCAGCTGGATGCAGTAAAAAGCCATGGCAACAACACCGAACACCTGGAATTGTGGAAGAAAAGTTTAATAAGGTGTAAGTGTACACTGCTGCTCTAACTAGTGCACACAAATAACTGTCATTGTGTCCGAATATTGTACACTAGCACAGTAGAAAGAAAACGTTTACACGACTTACAGCAGCGCATTGGTATCCAAGCCTATTGCCATGATGCGCAATCATAAAAGCATTGGCGAAGAAGTACAGGACGATGGTGATGGCAAGGTACAGGCATTCCTGCAAAATATGCATTAAGCTGTTAGTGTCACTGGTACAAAGCCCAGAAATCGGGTAGCTCGTGAAGAATTTGAAAAGCACTGTTCTTTAAACTCTATATTCACAACCGAAGATTGTAAACCTTCAAAAAATAAAATAAACATCAGAAAAAGAAAAATGTTTCTGAATTGCCACAGCTCGTAATGCGTCCTGCAACATAAAAATTGCGCTATTTTTTTTTTTTTTACCTACCGGTAAACGTTTGAAAACATACCCTATCTAAGCATTTCAATAAAATGTTTCGTTGGATGTTCAAGTGAACGAAGTATTGAGCCCATTGAACTAACCCAGCTGGTTCCCTGCGTAAGCCTCTGCTCCTAGCACGTCGGTGCATAGCTGTGAAGTTTGATGCTCGTGCACCAGTCGATACTGTGAAGCTCGATGTGGGTAGTGCAGCGAGTGCCATGGCTAGAGGCACTGGCATGGTAATCATCTGATCTCATCAAGAACAGGAGACTAGCTGTGTCTGATGACATTAGCCGTCATTCAACCGCGAGTGTCCTTGCAACGTTTTCGCTCGCGACGATGGCGGTGTCATCGTCTGAAAGTTCAGACAATGACGTGGCTAGAGTGGATAGGAAAGCTGCGAAATTAATGTTTGTACAAACTTTTTAAAAGTACGAGCCTTCCTTCTTTTATGCGACGCAATAATCATTAATGGGCACGAATGCCACACGAAATGAAACGCAGAACCCAGGGCACCGAGCTTAGGAGAGAAAAAGATGGAAATTTAAGATGCAAGCTGTTGCTGTGTTGGCTGTTGCAAAAGTCTGCTTCTCCTTCGTCTACTCCAGTGTCATACCTGCCTAGGCAAGGAGGCCAGGTGAGTATTAGTACGACCTAAACATGATAGTTTAGGTCGTTTTAATATTTTCTAAATCATAATTTTAACGAAAGGAGCTCAAAAAGATATTGCCTTAAGTATTCAAGCACGCAGTTGTTAATGACATCTTTGGCACAAGTTTCCATGATGGACCAGAAGTATGAATTTCATCTCACTTTCACCACTGCATACATCAACCTTTTCATACCCAGAACGTCATCGAAATATAACCACCTTCCCATACCTTCAGCATGCATACAAACAGACAATTTATTTAAAAATGTGATAACCAACAATTTTTGTTAATGCGAATCTTGACTGCTCGTGTTTTCATAGCATATATTTCTATTAGCATTGCTTCTCTTGTATTTTGTTTTTGCTTCTCCCTTCTCCAAAGCCTCTAGGCCCTGGGGGTATTGAAATAAATAAAATAAGTAACAGCTAAACGCCTAAATATTATGACAAGATGATACTTAATCAACTATATAGATGGTAGGTGGGATAAGCTGCTATTCTACAGAAAACGTTCATTGCCCTAGATTATTGATAGTATTCATCTCATCTCCCATACATCACGCTAGGTGAAAATAGCATTAATATCAAATTTAATTGTGTGGACATCAGAATCCTTATAGTAATTTCACACTAAATATCAAAATCATTGGCAAACAGACTTACAGAAGAGGAAATTTGAGTGATTAATATAGATTGTAAATAAGTTAATTTTGCTTGTAAAGTTAGCATGAAATGTGTAGATATGCAAGGCCATAAAACATGAAATTGCGGGACATCAGCTGAATCAAAGCTTCTGGCACTCTGCAACGAAGTATTGAGGATCACTATACATAGACCAGCTGGAGATCTTTAGCAACTAATTAAAATCTTCTTTACGCATGGCTTCCACCACAACAAGCCTTCGCAAAATTGCGGGCACCTTAGCCTAAACTTGAACCTTGCTTGTTAAAATCCTGAAATTCGTATCTTTTTTACTAAATTTTAAAGTACTGCTGATGAATGCATCATAATCTTAATTCTTGTAGCTTCAATTATTTCACGAGCATTTTTGTCAAGGGTCCAATCGGCAACAGAAAGACCTATTCACGAACAATTATTTAGTGCTCCAAACAATTCACCCAAAACTCCATGTGGCAACATTGTGTCAGAGTATACCACTGGAGTTGGTTTGAAAACTTGTATTTTACTTGAAGTACATTATCTGAGTATGTACTTGTGCAATTATTTTTTCTGGTACTTTCCAAGGAAACTGCAACTCCCGACTTCAAAGTACAGCTTTTTCAAGGACCACGCGCTCGCGCCCTTGGCTTTCCCAGTACTATTGTCGGCGTGTGCGAGCTACAGGGGGCGCTTCTCTAGCTATCATCATCATCATCATCGTGTTTGTGACGTCACGGGAAGGACAGACGAGACAGAATACGCAGATCTTGGATTCCTCGGCTCGTCAACTAGCTTCATGCGCTGTCTGAGTAACGCGCGGCAAAGCGTTTCACGCGTTGTGCTTACTTGGTGAAGTGATATTTGTAGTAGAACATTTTACCAAAGTTTGAAACCGCATGTGACACGCGTATTTGTGCCAACAAACACTTTGGTGCTGAGGTGTCGACGAGCTTGTTATCGTGGTGTGCTCTTCTCTACCCAGTACAAAAAGCTGGATCTCTCTAAACATCTACCACGGCGAATAGGGTGTATTTTTTTATTATGATTCGGACAAAATAAAACTAAGAAAGGAATGTCTCATCAAGTTGAAAATAGGAAAGCGGGAAAGCGAAATTCGAGAACCTCGTGTGCAGTGGCGTAGCCAAGATTTTATTGGGAGGGGGGGGGGGGGGGGTTTAACGACGTCATTATCCCCCCCCCCCCCCCCCCTCAATGACGAGGCAGGGTGAGGTCGGCGGTACGGACGCTCACGCAAAGATTAGGGAGGCGCTTTTAAGATAAAGCGGGTAAACCTGCATTGTCATTTTTCAAAACGGAGCAGGCTTCATTTACAGGAATACGAGCGTGGTGGCTCACTGTTCTACTGTCGTCGTAGTTGAGGCCCAACAACTTTAAAAGCTTCCTCAGCACACAACTCCCTCCGGTTTTTGAGGTACAACTGCATTACCAACGCGTGCCGGCCAGTCAAAACAAAAGGATAGCTATACTTTTCCAATAAATTAAACAGCAGCACAAAAAAAAAAAATCTCGACGCTGATAATTTAAAGCAAGCGTCCACCCACAAACACTAGGCAATATTCCAAGCCGCCATTAAAGTGGCCGAGACAGCGAAGTTGAAATTCAGATGCCGTGAGTAACAAGTCGGCAACGACACCGCTCCAACATTCCTGCTGGAAGCACGGAAGAGCATTCTAAGCGCTCCGTGTTCGTTCCTTTCATGGATTACCTGATCACACAGATGGGAGATTTAAAAAGCACCGGCATACGTTGCAAGTACTTTCGTCGCTTCTGCCTGAAAAGATCTCAGAAAGCGAGGCAGCTCCCGGCGCTGAAGGGTTTTTGGAGTTCTATTTAGGCCTGGTTTCAGTTTAGGGTGACCACCTTCCCGCTAGCGAAATGCGGGACACGCTGACCAGGGGAAGGGGGGGGGGGGGGGGGGGGGGTGTAAGAGAAGAACAGTATTATATTTCGACTGTGGCAACTGCAAAAAAGAGCTTAGTGTGCAGTCAGACTGGTGGAAATTTACCATGATGCCTTTCAACCCGAGACTGGAGCAGGAGGAGGAAACATTTAAAAGAATTATAATGCAATTAAATGCAAAGGGGCAAGCGAGCTGGACAAGAATGATGAAAATAAGAGGTCCCGGGTTCGATACCCGGACCAGGCGGATTTTTTCGGTCGCTCACCAGTCACCTAGCTGTGTTTGGAGATTTGTGTTTGTCCTTTGTCCTTCTTGTTCCCCTTCTCCAGGGATTATTTTCATAATTTAAAAGAACTTGTTGGGCTAGTTGGTGTTGACTGAATTGAACCATGGTTAAAAGCGCTAAAAAAAAGGCGTACACAAGATAGAAGACAAACACGGGCAGAAGGCCGAAACATTTGTTTCGGCCTTCTGCCCCAGTCTCAGCTTAAAAAGAAAAAAAGACATAACTGAAAAAGTAACAATTCGGGGAAATTTATCAACACACGCCACGAAATGAGGCTCTGCTAAAGCATTTAATATCCTGTCTTGACCGAAAGCATACTATACAGCTGAATATTGTATTGCGGCAATTAAGCTAATAATTTTCACTCCCAGTGATATATTTTAAGTTTTCATGCCACATATGCTGACCAAAGGGCCTAAGTTGAAGACATAAAATCAACAGCAGCAGAACTCAATGCATCGGAAGGATAGAAGAAGCAGTAAATCTTTAAAGGCTTCTGATTTCCTGTCGATTCTTATTTTTTCCAACATTTTCCTACGCAAATTTTGAACCTTATGTTGTTATTTTTGACCGTTTTGAGTTGCAGTTTTCTTGCCTTGTTAAGTCGTCTTAAATAAAAAATAAAAGTTTTTTTACAGCAATATTTTTGCATTGACACTGCACGATTTGAAAATAATTGAAATAATTTCTTTTGAACTTTTGGTGAGCAATGTTTTTTTGCAATATTTTGCCACCAAGGAATGGGAGGCACAATGGCGCATGCGCGTCAGTTCTCCTGCGAGAACGACGGTCGCTTCCCGCCATGCTTGGATAGAAAATATTGTACCATCGCGATTCATATACTGTTCACCAGGGATCTCCGCGCTTCCCCGTGCCCCGTTGTTCATCAGCGCCGTGAGTTGCCTAGTGAATGTTACGACAATGTGAAATGCGGGACATTTTGAAGATTTTGGAATTTCTTGCGGGACGCGGGACACGAGCCCTCAATGCGGCACAGTCCCGCGAGTCGCGGGACGGGTGGTCACCCTATTTCAGTTCATGCACTCCAATGCGAGCTGCTCATATGGGCTGCCAAATGCAAGAGGGAGAAATGTGAAACGCCCCCGTCACGTCTGCGCTACAGAAGGTTATTCTCAAGCGTCCATAGTCTCTCCAGAAAAGCTTTTCCCGAAAGCATATACGTTGAAGATAGTCCGCGCTCCTCCTTTGCTCCATGCCCCGTCAGTTCACTTTACCCGTGCGAAACAGACTGCGTAAGCAGGAGAGCGAGCGGGCCCCCAAGGGGGGGGGGGGGGGGGGGGGTCGACACCCCCCCCCCCCCCCTGCCTACGCCACTGCTCGTGTGTGAGGAAGCACTTCAGTGATAGCGACACCCTGTATCCTGTCAGTTCCAATCTCTTCTGTGAGTGCTGGTCTCTTATTAGTTCCGAGTTCACTTTTTTTTTTTTTTTTTCAATTTTGTAATTCAGTAAACGAACATTTCCTCAAAATAACTGTCAGGAAGAAGCGGTGGCTGGCTTGCGGAGTCGTTTCAACTAAATCTCTGCGTATTCACCCGGCGAACGCGGCACGTGCGAGGCGCTCTCGCGATCGAAGTCTTAAATCTAGTAAGTCGGTGACACTTCAGCGTCCCAAAAAATGGGCAACACACCTGCTATGGATTACTAGCGTTTGTGTGTTTAATTTTTGCGGACCCAAATGCGCATAATTCGTGATGCGCTTCTCAGCGAGCCATTTCCATTTTGTAAACAATTCTTGGTAAAAATAGGTTTGAAAAAATTAATCAATCGTCTGAATTCACCGGGCCATGGCCGACAATTGAAAAAATTATGAAAAGTTATGATTTTCTTTCGAGCAGAAGTCGCGTTGTGACAAACTTTTTTGCCACGTATTCGGTACGGGAACTGTCGAGTCACACTTGGATGGAGGCGTCTTTGGCAAGCTCAATATGCTAAAACAAGAGTGCGTTGTTTTCCAACACAACTGTGCGCGCGTGCACAGCTAAGACAGCACGTCATTTACTCTGGTGAATGCAAAGCCTTTTTCTACAACAACCTCCACAGATCCGAAAAAAAAAAAAAAAAGAATCAGAGAGGCTGCGAAGGCGAACTGACATAGCCACTCCGTGCTTTGGCGGAGTGCGTCGTCGGCTCGCATCCTACCAGCTGCACCAAAACATCATGTATAAAAATTCACCAACCTCTAACAAAAGAAAAAAAAAAGTGTACACTGTATTGTTAGGTGAAAAAGCGCTATTGTCTTTCGAGACGTCATCCCGTCATTTTTCAGAGTGAAGTAATGAGACCATCTCACTACATTATTAATTTCACTAAGTGCTTTCAGGGCGACATCATTTTGTTACATCCGGGCACTTCAACGAATTGGGCGGGGTAAAAGAGGGAAAGGACACGCCGCACGCGCCAGATCCCGATAGCAGACGACAAATTGGTCCTTCATTTTTGGGCAGTACCCGTGGCGTGGGCTGCACCAAACATAGCTCGCTCACTGCTGCCGCTGTGAAGTGATTCGGTGTTCTAAAACATTTATGGCTACTCCAGTAGCAGTATATTGTGCTCTGTTGTCTTGTTGAAGTAAACAATAAACTAGCGCAGGCACTAAGCCAGGATTTTGATTGGGGGGGGGTGCCATTGACAGAATGATGTGTGAGGGGGAGGGGGGAGAGGAGGCCCCAGCAAAATAGATGGTTTTGGGAGGGGGGGCATGCCCCCCCCCCCTTCCTTTCTTGAATACGTTCCTGAGCCCCCTAGCGTACCTTCGTTCATTTACTTCAACAGCAATGGTGTTCACCGGCAATACTACCCTCAACCGCTGCGTCTATTGCATCAGCAGAAAATGGGATCCCGATTGTACAGTTCGGAGTTCAACAAGTCCTTGCTTGGGTTTTGAAAAACGCCATGCAAACACTTTCTTACTCTTATTTTACTATTTTTTTTATGAATGACAATAATCAAACACTTCACAGCCAGCACACCTGCGTCGGTCGGTTTTCGGCGGTGCATTGAAGTAAAATGCGCACTCGTTAGTCGCTTTCCAAATACCACCTACACGTAAATATCGCAAAACGTTATTTTGGTTACAAATAGACTACTAGATACATTTGCGCTAATTTAAGCCCGATAAAGTCTTCATATTCAGACATTGAATTATGAGCAAATTCGTTGTTCGTGCAAAAAGAAAAAAATAATAATAATAATTCTCGCAGTTGTTTTGCATTTGGTGGACACGTTTTCTTTTTTTTTTTTTTTTATCTAGACTTCCCCGCATAGTTGCTAAAGGCCTAAATCAGTACGAAAACTATCTTACAAAAGGTTACTCCAACCGCATTCACTTTTCGCCGGAGAGGACAGACGAATCGTACTGTTACAGGGCTGTATTCACTTTTCTTTATTTAATTTGCTCGGTAGGTGACAGCGGGATTGTGCCCGATTAGTCTCTTTATCGGGTGTAACATTTTACATTAATTTGTATATCTGAATCTGCGTATTTGCTCTTAAGGTTGCGAAAATTGTGCGATTTTCAACCGTGTTTGCACGCTAATAGGATGTTTTGTACTGCCCAGTCTACGGAGCAGACGACGCGCCAGGGTGAGAGAGTAAAAGATACAAGTCCCTGCATTATAAGTTGATTGTCTTAAATAGTTTGTCAGCGAGAGTAAAACCTATATGGCCACTTGACTTTATCCAATTTTCGCCACCACTTCCGAAAGGACTGATGTCCCTGATTATCCCTGGTGCAATGCCTACCAGCTAAAAATACACTGTACAGGGAAATTAAAGGACATCATGAAAGATTGTGTTAAAAGTAATTGTAGTTTACTTTGAAAGTAGATTGTATTTTTAGTACTTCAAGTATATTGTGCCCGGTGTACTCACTACGTTGTACTTTACTTTAAGTACTTTTTAGATGTACTTTACCCACCACTGACTATTTAAACCACTTCTCATTTTTTTTTTTTTGGCACTTTTAGGTTGTCTCGTACAACCATCTGGAGGTAGCACCGAACCGTGGAGTAGAAGGGTCCCCAGATTGCGTCGCTTACCGCAAAGAGCCTGTATTTGACGGGCAATGGCACTCTCTCTGTGGTCCCCAACATGCGCGCTGCGAAGATGGCACCCGTCAAGATGAAGGAGGTAAAGGTGACGAAAGCAAAGAATCTATAGGAATGCAGGTAGCCCGGGGGAGCACAGTTGAAGTGTCCTCTGCACTCTGCCACTGACTCCACGCTGATGAAGGCCAGCAGGCTCAGTATCTGCATGAAGAAGCAGGGTTATTGGTCAATCACAAATGGCCCCGTGACACTGCAGCCTGAAGTCCACTTTGGCACGAAGGATAACTGTCTAGAAAGTTGAAACCCATATCAAGCTGAGGACCTCTTGTGGTTAAAAGAAACCGGATGCCTTAACTACTCCCACCATTATCAACCAATTCCAAATGCAGAGATTTCACATGCAGGGAGTTCAGCGCACTACCTAACAAAAACAGTGACACTTAATTACAATAAAGCTTCCTTCTATTCTTTCTTTTTCTCATTTACCCTTGCAGTTTATAACTGTTTACAATTTTATTTTATGGAGACAAAGCAAGTAGCTGTTGCTGTTCTAGTACAAGACTCAAAATTACACTTCTCAAGGTTCACTTTTATTGCTGTATCTTCATTGAGTAAATAATATATTCTAAATGTTGCATATGGTGCCATTAGCTCAAAGAGGACAAGGGTGTGGCACTATTAGCTTGAAGAGAAATATGTTATATGTGACACTGACATTTGGTACATGCTAAACAATCTGTTTTGCCTAAATTACTTTAGAAGTGGGGTCCTCAAACCTTTTGGTCATGAGGCATGCATAAGCAGAGAAACCTCGTCCCTCTTGGCATCCTGGTAACGAAATTATTCAAAAGCTTTCAAATTTGTTGGCAACATGACAGGAGTACGCACAAATGAGAAATTGATGGATTGGTTTGACTTGTAGCGATGCATATGGTCCGTTGGAACTCAAAAATTTTTTTAAGGCAAATGATCCTTTGAGCGCGTCGAACTATCGTCCAATATCGCTGACGTCGACAAGTGCAAATTGTGGTCTGTCGGCATCTCACACAGTTCTTAGAACATGGGTGGCCAGGCTGGCCTCGCCTAAGAGCCGCAAACAAAACCACGGAACTTCTAAGAGCCACAGGGAGGGGGGGGGGGGGGGGGGGCAAACTTAACTTTTGTTCAGAGTCTGTACGTATGGGGGCACAAGGCTGTACGACTGTACGTATGGGAGTACAAGGCTGTCAAACTGAAAGCTGCAGTGTGCTTTATTCTAAAATCCTTTTCTTTTTTTCCTAGGAAAACGCGGAAAGGGGCGAAGCGGAGGGAGGTGTCCCCTAATGAGGGATCCGCGAGCCGCACTTGGACCAGCAAAGAGCCGCATGCGGCTCGCGAGCTGCGGTTTGGCCACCCCCGTCTTAGAAGAAAACAAGTTGTTATCAGACGTTCAACAAGGCTTTCGGCGCGGAGCATCAACTGTAACGCAGATGATTACTACGTGTCACGACTTTGCGCTTGCAATTAATAACAGAGAACAGGTTGACGCTGTCTTCTTAGATTTTGCAAGGCCTTTGACAAAGTGCCGCACAAAAAACTCTTTCAAAAGCTTTACGCGATTGAAATTACAATAAACTTATCGATTTTATTAGCTCTTACCTAGACACTCGCGTTCAGTATGTGCAGATTGAGAACTACTGCTCGGACACTCTACCAGTCACGTCGAGGGTACCCCAAGGATCAGTTTTAGAACCTATTTTATTCTTATTATATGTCAACGACATCGTAAGCGCTCTTTACCCTGAAATTAAAGTTAAACTTTTCGCTGATGACTGCGTCCTTTACACCCAATAAAATCACAAGTCGATCAAACTAGACTCAACGACAATCTAGAAAATATTTTAAGTTGGTGTGTCAACTGGGGAATGGTTCTAAATGTTGGTAAGTGTTCTGCCTTACGAGTATGTAACAAAAAATCTGTCTTGAAGTATTCATACGTTATTGGAGGGGAAGTATTTAAAGAATTATCGGCAGGTAAATACTTAGGTGTTACAATTACAGAAGGCTTGAGTTGGAACGAGCACATCGATAATGTTTGCTCTAGTGCGCTTAAAGCCCTATGGGCCCTGCGACGTAAGCTCTGCTCTCAGGAGCACCTTGCAGCCTACAAAAGTTTGGTTATACCTTGTCTAAAGTATGCTTCATGTTTATGGGTCTCCCACACTACAAAAAATGGACGCATCTCCACGTGGTGAATGATGTTGATTGGGGCGAAGCTCTGGTGGTGCTGATGATACTGATTTTATTGTTCATAGGTAGTGCTGATGGTTTTTTTTTTTTTAGTTTTTTTTTTTAATTGCTCATAGGTAGTGCTGAGTTCCGGGTTGCGTTTCGACTTCATTATTACTGCTTTATGGTCGGTGAAATGCAGAGCCAGTGGTTCTTCTAGCGGATAAGCTTGGATCCGCTGGAAGCCGTGGGAATGCATCTCCCCCGCTTAAGTCAACGGTCCATGTCAGAAAGAGAATGTGTGGTATGGAACGTGGTTATATACGCAGTTGAGCATTTGACCGCAGCGCCCTCTCGTCTATAAACGTTGAGCCAATGCATGCAACGTTTAACGCGATCATATACGCATTTGACCGCAGCGCTCTCTCCTGTATAGACGTTGAGCGGCTACATGCAACGTTGGAGTGTAGCGTTGTGGTTAAGACGTCTGCCTCGTAAGCAAGCGGTCCTGTGTTGAAACCCCCGCATAGACATTTTTTAAAGTGGGCCGATCTTTGAGCCAGTGCAATCGATGTGAGCACGGACGCCGGACAAGGCTAGACCCTAAGGAGCTTCGCCCCTGAAAATATATCTAAACTCGAAAGAGTGCAGAGGACTGCAGTCCGATTTATTTGCAACCGGTATAAAAGAACGGACAGCGTGAATGAAATGTCCAATTTTCTTGGACTTGAAACGCTTCAAACCCGGCGCTTAGAAAAGAGGTTAACACTTTTGTACTTGATATATAATGATTTAAATACCCTAAAACAGTGCCTTTACGTAACCTGATTATCGCGCGCAAATACTCGTTTTAACAAGGGCAAAATGAGTAGAGAGTTTCGTGTGCATAATGATACGTTCTTTCCCAGGACAATAACCGCAAAAACCAGCTGCAAAAAAAAAAAACAGTAGAAAGTGCCAGTGTTGAGGAATTTATTTCAAAGTTGAAAGTTGCGCTAATGTAATTGTTTTGTAATGTTTCTTTTTTTTTTATGTTTCCCTTTATGTTTACTTTGTTGTTAGGTCTTGCAGCTGTTATTGATGTCTTCTCGGTGTTGTATATCATGTTCATATTTGTGGTGCCCATTCCTGCTTAGACTAACATGAGTCTGCAGTATTTATTAATAAAAAAAGGTAGGGCGAGGCAAAGGAAGTCCGGGGAGGAGGAAGCAGGCAGAACACTAGAGAGAGGAGGACGTTTCCCCCTCTCCTCTCTAGCGTTCCGTCTGCTTCCCCCTCCCCGGCCTTCCTTTCTCTCGCCCTACCTTCTTGAGTTGCAAAGGACTATAGCAATGTCAAATTTGTGCACAGAACCTCATATGGCTACACTTGTCTGCAACATTGCCGGCTGGGAACGTGGAGCGTCGTAAGTGTTTGGAAGATTTGAGGGAGGGGGGCGACGGCAGTGCGAAAGGGGAATCATTTCCCTCCCCTTCCCCGAATGTTTACTGGAAGTGTATGAAATATGTCTGCGGGAAGGGGCGATCACCCCTGTCCCTGTTCCGAAGCCACCACAGGAAACAGACACAAGTGCCGACGCTTCTTATAATAATTCTTAAAATATTAGCATTCAAATATTTTGCGGATAATACATTAAATAAACCGATGCGCAACTTTCTAGTTCTCCGGCCACACCTGCGTATTGAACAACCCGTCTAGCGCGCTTCTCCGAGGCGCACGAACGAGGTGCGGGAAAGCGCACTTAACGACCACCCAAGAGGATCCGCGCCTCCGAGGACCTCTTTCTGAAAATATGTGGCACGATTTCAAGCTTCGAAATGCAAATTCTGCACATTTTCGTGGAGAAAACGATCGCAGCGATCGTGCTCGGTAGCACGATTGGCGGCCTTTAGCGCGGCCATCAGTTTGTCACCTCTGACTGAAGTTACAACCCAGCGTCAAACGAGACAAAATAAAAAAACTTCGTAGTTCTGTCCGTTTTTTTTTTTTTTTTTTTTTTTTTACGTTTTAGGGTTTCTATGGATGTCATTCACCAGCTCGCCTGAGTTTTTTTACCTTTCGTCAAGCGACCCAACACGTGAATCGGGAAGCGAGAAAAACACTTTTCTCTTCCCGCCTCCATTTCCTTTTTTTTTTTTTTTTTTTTTTTTGTTTGCCGAGTGGAATTGCAAGAAGGTCTTTAAGTTCTTTCATGCTGTTGCGATTTGAAAGATATGTTCGTTGTCCTGAGTTTGTTTTATTCTTTCTGTGTCAAGTCAACTTTACCAACACGCTCTACAGTTAATTTGAATCGGTAGTGCCCGTTTTCATCGCTATGTGTTCCCTTGCTTTACGTTGCTTCAATTTGGTTGGTTTCGGTTTCAACGTGAACGCAGCTGTGTTGCTTCTTGATGTCATTGTAGCATTATTTTGGGATATAAATGTGTCCCTTGTAGAAAAAAAAACAAACAACGAATTAAACATAGTGTTTAATTTCGGTTCGAAACCACTTCGTTGTTTCGAGCCGAAATTGCGGGCTTTTTGCAAACACCTTTAGCGGATCTCATTACGTTCATAATTAATTTCGGACATGTTCAACGACGAAACGGCTGAACTGATGCACAGAGATTATTACCATAGTCTACTACAGCATCCGATGACACCAGTTTCCAGAAAAATAGACTAATTAATAGACTAATACGTGGATACATAATGAAGAAGCAGGTCGACAACTTTATCAATGTGCGGAATCGAAAAGAACACGTGAACTCACAAGTTATGTTTGGTTTTCGTGGGTACCGACATAGGCGGAAACTTTTCAATTTTCAGGGGGCGACGAAACGCGAGCTGCTAGGGGGACCCAACGCTTTGGGTCCCCCTAGCAGCTTGGGGCGTCGCCTTGGGGGTTTGGCTGCATTTGAATATCGTCATCATAGGGCAACTCCCGTGACTGTGACAACACAATGCGATCCCCGTCCATTACTACGTCATCAAGTTTCGCGAAGGAGACAAGTTTCTTGGTCAGTGGCGCTGCGTGCGAGCATAATTGGGTCACATAGTGCCAGAAGCTCGTGTAAAGTGAGAAACATCGCAACTGAATATTGTTGCACGACCCCCTTTAGTACAAACCGCATGTAAGCGATTTGACGAGCGACGAGACAAGCGACGGCGGCGAGGGCCCGCTATCGCCCGGTCAGTCGCGCGACGAGGCCAACCGCATGAAAGCGGCGGGAGAGAGCGAACAAGGAGACGAGCGACGTTTTCTAGAAATCCAAACACCGAGCGACGCGACGAGCTGGAGTGACAAATCTCCGTCGCTGACTCTCGTCGCTTGTGGCCGTCGCTCGTCTCGTGTCGCTCGCTAAATCGCTTACATGCGGTTCAGCCTTTGCAGGGGCCGTGCAGCGATATCGTGTTGGAACGGCTCTCACTTTACACAAGCTTAATGATATGCAGTAATATGAGCCGAGTATACTCGCACGCAACGTCACGTGAGTGGCAAAGTAAGCTGGCTCATGTGAGTGCCAGCAGAGAGGGTTTAAATTGCGCATGGCGTACGCTTTCGGGATGCCAAGTCATGTATACTGCCATGGCACGACAATAGGAGATAGTGGCAGTCCATTCCGACCAGCCTCTCAAAATATTTTTAACGCCGCCCCCGTCATACGACGCGTTTACCTCTCCGACCTGAGCTTCGCTGAGCATCCCGCCGCAGCCGCACCCTGTACCTGCATAAACGCCCAACTAACACAAGTTTTCTATTGATGATTTCAGACGGAGAAAAAATGACTACATCGGTTGCGACAACCGATACAGGTTGTTATACCGAAGGGGCACGGCACTTCGAGGTCGCATACCATTTCGATGATGGACAACACGCCGTTCCTGGACTTGGCGTAGTGGACGTTTGGCTTGAGTTTGGGAGCTGCGTCGCCACTGTCTTCGTCTCCGCCCTCTCTTCCCATGTCTAGAGAAAAAGAAGGAACGCGGCGTATGATTACAAAACCTTCTAAGAAACAGCACACACCGAAGGGGGCAGGACATAGCCCGGAGGCTATGGACAGGAGAAAGAAATACACGGGACAGATAAAGAGAATCGGGCCAGTCTAACCTGTACCAACCAGTCCAGCATGTCACTTCGTCAGAAAACAAGCCAGAACACTTCTGGGGCCTTCCTCGACGCCCCACATGTGAAGCTTCTCCAGCTCGGTTTCAGATGGCTCGAGGGAAGTGAAAAACGAATGGTTCATATGTTTTTTTGTTTGTTTGTTTTTTTCACTCTACAGAGCGCGGCGCAGTTAGCACGAGCAAGCAATAGCCGGTGTCAAAGCTACACATGCGGTGCAAAGTGCTCGTACGGGGCCAGTGGCGTAGGGATATTTTTCAGGGGGAGGGGGGGGGGGGGGGGGAGGGAGGGGGGCGTCAAAATGCATGTGTATATTACAGGGTTGGTTGGATTTCAGTGGAGGCTGAAAAGGGCCCCTCCCCTGGCTACGCCACTCTACATGGGCGTCAATTTGAGCGCAAAAGTGGGTGCTTGCCAATAGGGTGTTTTCACTGACGTAATTTCGTCCACCATTTTGTTGTTGTGAGCTGTCTGGTGTGTGCCAAACTCGAGCATTCCAAGTATTTGCATGCCCCCTCAAATGCGTTGAGCACAGAAGCTTATGCCTTACCACGCTGACATCATCTCAACCGGTTACGATGTAATCTTTCAATGTAGTAAATTTGTTTTAAAACGCAAACTAACAACAAAATGGCGGATTGACGTCATGTGCAAACAATCTATATCCTGTCCGAGCAAAGGCGAGTAAGAGCGCCGATGTTTCGTTCGCGCTAGCTGTGCCGCGCACTGTATGTCCCCGTGTCCCTAATCTACATTGTAGAGCGGGACTAAGCGGTTTCTGTTCTGCCGTGGCTGTTCTCGCAGTGCACAGTCACAGTCGAGAGTCAGCAGCGCCTTAGAGACGGTTTCACTTTCAATCCGAAGAATGCGCCACGCAAAAGGGGCCCGGTGTCGGTCGTGCGCTCCTCGTCCTGTCCTCGGGTGTCAAGAGATCAGGGAGGAACGAGTCATTCCGCGGATGGAACAAAAGGTGATCCTAGGCGAACCGACGAGGGGTCCCATTGTGCCTGTCCCTTCGAGGGCAACCGACCGTGGCTACGAAACTTCCGCGTCCCCTGGTTTGCCGACCGAGTTCGTCTCTCGCGTGACCCCTTAGCCGCCCGTGCCACGAGCTCTCCTCGCTGGTCTTTTCTGGTCAACGACCGTCGGTTCTCGTGGAAAGAGAGCGCCCTTCAGGAACGCCTGACTGAGTCTGAGCGGCGACGCCGGGCTAATTGGCGCGCTCGTCCGAGACGTGTTGGTAGCGATCGATAGGAGACACTTCAAACCCGAGGTCCCCGCCAATATACGGGGTGTTTCACATCCTAAAGCAAGTCTGCATTCATCATTCCCGCAGAACACGGATTAATTGTCTCGTGTTCTGAAGGAAAATTGACTTAGACCTTGAGTGCACAAAGTGGAGGAAATTCCCCCGCGAAAACCATGCAACACAAAGGACTGCGACGTATTGGTCTGGTCACTGCCCGAGGACCTACTTAGAGAGGTGGATATCGGTTGGGATAATTAAGTGGTTGGTGACCTTGAATAAACAACTTTTAAATTAGTATGAATAAAGGTATAGTTTAATAGGAGAAACTTGGTCAGCATCATTGAGAACTTAACTTTGAATGTGCTGTCTAGGTTTGGGTTTCCTAGCCCATAGGAAACCAAAACTCGGCGCATTCTGTACTCCGTTCATTCCCAGGCTGACAGTGCGGTGGGACCTACTCCCTCGCCGAACCAATCAGCTGCCTCCCCTTTGTCACCTGACCTCACTCTCTTATGGAAGAGGGCGTGTACCCGTGGCGAAGGACCGACGTATGACCGGCCCAACGCGTTAGTAGGCTTCTACGCACTGTCAGCTTAGGGGTGAACGGAGCATAGTGGCTGCATATGCACGCCGATCCACCGTGAAACACCCTGTATATTCGTGCCCGGGACACCGAGCGCAAAATGCGTTGTTCGGGAGAATGTTTCACGCTGCACGAGCACACGGAGTTTCGCCTCGATTCATAACCGCCGCGAAGGTAAGCGCTATACTTACTTTAAATTGCGCGAGAAGTAGGGTATGGTATGACCCAAGTTTTAGTTATGGCATACACGCGTATTCATTTCAACATTCTAGGCCATTCGGCCCACTGCTCTCTCTCTCCCCCCCCCCCCCCCCCCCCCCGTCTCTCCCTTTCTCGGAAGTTCTCAGTAAAACACCCACAAAACAATATTTTAGCAGAACTCCATAAATCCTATGTTCCTCAGAAGAGCTGTAGACAACGATAATACAATATTAATTATTACTATTCAGAAACTCAGGAACGCATATACTTTTTTTTATTGCTAGGTCCGGCATATTTGCTTTCATGGGCCCTATAGACCACTTTTTAGAAAATCTTGAATTTCTGCGTACCACTTCGAAGACATGTAATATTTCCGAGGGTTATAAATAATACGGCGAGAGCACGAGCCGAAATTCAAATTTCACTATTTCCATAAATACGTTTTATCCCTCGAAAACTTTGTGTAACCACCACAGTATATTAGCCCCTGTAAAGTTCCCGTGCACATCGACACATTGGGTCCAAAATAACCTTTACAGATGCTCATTGTGATAGAATCGAAGGTATGGGGCGCTTGTAACACACCTTTAACGTTTAGACACCACATGGGGCCTTGCAATCGAGCTGAAACGGAATGTCTCGCAATGCTGACCACGACCCAGTAAATGAGCAACGGAAGTTCCAGTATAAGGACACTTTTAACCTTTTTTTTTTATTTCGTTTTTTTTTTTTTATATCGAAATATTAAAGTCGGACTTTCTATTTAATGCATATACGCCCAATAATATATGTCTAAGACACACGCAAGTAGCTGAGACAGGTACAGAGAACTCAAAAAGAATCCTAAGGAGCGTCAGCTGTTCACTTCGACAACCTCGAAGAAGCGAAACGGAGGCAAACAAAAGTTGATCGCAACCTAATTATGGGTTCTGACTTCATTGCGACCCACAGCGTTCGCCCCCCCCCCCCCTCTCTCTCTCTCTCTCTCTCTCTCTCTCTCTGAACAAGAAAACGCAAAAAGGAAGTACAGGTGTTCGAATCAAGGAAGTTTAATTTGACCTTAGGCAGTGATGTTACATGGATTACTCGTATTATACTATTTATTCGCTACACATATACGTGCTCAATTCACCTACATTGAGCTCAAATATTAAACGTGTAAAAAAACGAGAACAAAGTTTGTAATTATACAGATGTGTCCAAAGGCACAAAGCAAGCAGTACATTAACGGTATATATATATTTTTTTTCTTTACATAGAGGCCTGCATCGCCGTTCGTCATTATAGCAGGGGTGAGTACATAAAATGCATTAATTTCAAATAAAAACGTCGAGACACGAATAAACTTGTATAAACGTTAAACACATCCTTCAATAGCCGACCTATTCCATTTTTCTATTGTTTTCGAAAAAAAAGAAAAGCGCAAAAACATCGGTACGGTAAAAGTGGGGTCGGATTCTGTTTTGGTGGTCTGCCCTCCCTGATATATAAAACGGTTCCTGGTAAAAAAAAAAAAAAAAAAATTATTTCTCGACTGATTAGAAGGCGATTGTTAAATATAAATATATCATGTAAAAATTTGAACCTAAGCATTTTGCAGCGTTCAACTAGTGATTCCCATTTTAAATTGTCCTTCACGGTGGTGACACTCGCCCCGCGTTGGTAGTTATTTAAAAGAAATCTAGCACACTGATTCTGTACTTTTTCCCGTTTATCTATTAGGTTGTTGTGGTGGGGATCCCATACAACTGCTGCAGATTCAATACAGGGGCGAAAAAACGTAAAGTACAAAGTTTCTTTAATTTTGCCTGAACCCTGGCAAAAATTGCGTCGTGTAAAATTAAGTATGCGTACAGCCTTTAGAGTTATTTCCACGTGACCTTTCCACGTTAAATCGCTATACAGAATGACCCCGAAGTATTTTACGCTTGAGTTAGCCTGAAATATTCCATTATTTTATTACGTAGGTAGAGCCAATGAAGCTTTTCCTACGAGTAAATCTCACGTGAACACATTTTTTAAGGTACGGCGTTTGTGGAGAATAACAGAGGACGAAAACCGGACGACACGTTTTTAACGAACAACGGACGACACGTTTAACGAACATCGGACGACACGTTTAACGAACATTTTTTAACGTTCAGATTCATTTTCCAATTGTTGCACCAGATCGAAATATTTTTCAAGATCAGCCTGTAAGAAATTTACATCATTCGAATAATTTATCGCTCTATATATAAAGCAGTCGTCTGCAGATAGTCTTATATTTGATTGTATTCCATTCATAAGTATCATTTATATATACCAGGAAGAGCAAAGGTCCCATACAGAACCCTGGGGAACACCAGATGTAACACGAGTAAGGCAAGTTTGTAAATTAACAATGCATGGTTTACAAGATCAAACACTTTTTGAAGTCTAAAAACAAACAGTCTACTACTTCATTCCCAGTATCCATGGCGCCCGCCAAAAACGTGAAAAACATCAACAAGCACAGTGCCATAGGATGCTCCAGAACGAAATCCATGCTGATCTCTGATAAGAAAATTATTTATATTTAAGTGAGCTATAATATTATTATAAATCAAGTGCTCCACAAATTTGCAGCACATGCACGTTAGAGAAATGGGTCGGTAATTTTTCATCCAGTTTTTGGGTCCCGATATTTGTATTGGCACCACATTTGGCGGCAAACAACTAATACAAATTTTAAAAAACAAATACGCGGTGCGTAAGTTGACAAACAAAACACATTTTGTATGTCAACATACACATTTTATTTGTACATACTGCGACCTCAATGGAGGC